GATGTCATCCTGCAGCAGACTGCTCTGACATTGAGCGATGAGCGAACGGTCAAGCCTGACGATGCAGAAGCAAAGTATGCGCGTGTAGCTGGTACTGCGCTCTTGTTATTCAACCGGGTTCTAGGTAAGCGTACATGCCATATTGTTCGAAATGGCTACTAATATGGGCATATGCAGGACACTCAACCCATGAAGATCTGCAGAAGGATCTGCCAACCATCGAGAATCTCCTATGCAGCAAATCTCTATGGGCACTTTCTTATCACGATGACCCTTTTGTGCGCAAATCGCTCTACATCCTCACTCGATCAGCTGTGTCAAAAGAGCCTGAGGAGCTTGATTGGAAGCTCATCAGTGCCGCCTTGATTGGCAAGGCTCTGCACAGTACCCAACTTGGCTCCGCATCGGAGCTTTCAGAAACTATTTTGCAGGTAACATCTGCAAGACCGCAATTATGGACAGAGGACTATTCTGGGAAATCATCTCCTTCAAAGAGACTTCTTCAATACATACAGAAAGGCTCACAAAGCGGTCTAAGCTCCTTCTGGCCGAATCTTTGCCAACTACTTCAGACGATCCCTTTCGAAACACTGGCCAAGATTGACCCGCAATCTACACCCGATACTACTCTTGGACTGTCTAGTGCGATTGCATTAACAGAGTCGTTCCAGGAAGGACTCACTTCTAGGGACGAACCTCGGCAAAATCGTGCGATTGGATGGAAGGTTTACATTGATACCTCGATGTGGCTTGCTCATCGACTTGCTGAGGATGACAGAGTGAAATTTTTGCAGGACAGGCTTGCCCCATTGGTTATGCAATATGTCAAGCCTGAACAAGATCATCTCCAATGGACACTTCCCCCTTCGTCGGCGGAATCTATCTGCACGGATTGTCTCGTCGCAGTGACCGCGAAAGGCTACAAAGCGGTGGTCGAGCAGCTGTGGATGAAGTTGGCTGATGACCTACTGGAAGCGGTAAAGCTGTCATCACCAGAGCAGTCCAAAGATTTCAAGTCCTCACAGAACGCAGTATGTGTGCAGGCCGAGCGTTTGTTGGCCTTGGAAGCCTTGTTGCTTTCACGTCTGCATGGTACTGCCCATGAGACAAGCATTTTGGAAGTATTCAAGAATACAGGCCTCACATTGCTCGATAACTGCTTGGAGGTTTTGCGGTCTAGAAACGGTAAGCCTTACGGAGCGGCTGCGGTTGTGGAAGAAATAGTACGCAAAGTCCCTCAAATCGCCCAAGGCTCGCAGTCGCTGTTGAACTTTGTTCAAGAAGATGCTCCTGAGCTCCTGGCATCGCCATCCGCTGATAGATTGGTATCCATTATCATGTCTTGCCGATCATGGGAAGGATTTGGACCTAGCTTCGAGAAGGTAGTCGAGCGTGTGGCACAATCGGATCCAGAGTCCTCAAATGTACATGCTGTTCAGAAGCTTCTTTCAACTCTTGATTTCCAGGAGCTAGGCGACAAGAGTGGACTGGTTTCTCTGGTTATGCGAGCCCTAGATCAAGCCTGTAAGGGCAGCGACCTTCACTGGTCTATTGTTATTGCAGTGCTACAGAACCATACCTCTCACGGGCAATTGACGGACTCAATTTTCCTGTCTATTGTTGATGCCCTCTCTGAAGAGAGCAAGATATTCGACACGCTGCATGGGCTTTCTCGCATCTCCAGTTCGGTCCCAAGTGCTGTCCGAAACTTCCAGAGCGGAGGCCACGGCTCAAAGCTCTCTGGTAAGCTGCTGTTCCTCGCTGAGTCGTCGGACGAAGAAGTAGCCAGTCTCGCGGAGTCGCTATCCAAGACCGTGAAAGAGTCCGTCGTCAGTGAGACAAGCGCCAAATCGAGTTTTGAGATTCTGCAGCACCAGTTCGACAATGTCAATGAACTGTCACTTTCGTAAGTTGTAACTAACGGGAGGAGAGAAAGGAGCTAACGGAAACAGCATCGAGTCCATGTTGGGCATCGCGGAAGAGTTGCTACAGAATGTCGATTCTGCGGACATTGGAAGAGTAGCTAAGGACATTCTGCCGTCTCGTCAATCCTGGGAGAATTCTCTTGGACCCTTCCTCGAGCTGCCTCCACGGCTATCGGCTGCCGTTACCAGTCCGCTCGGTGGTACTGTGCATCTCGTTGATCGCAGTGTGTCAGACGCATTCCGGGAACGCTACGCACGTATTCCGCGCGATTCCAATAATTGCTCGTCGGCGTTTCGGCTGGCATTTTACACCATCAAGATTCTGTCTTCATTTGACATCATCGAACATCTGGACACTGAGGAGCTTGAGACACTGTTCTACCATGTTCCCCTAACGGTGCAGCTTATTGACGACGATCTGAGCGTTCAAAATTGCAATGGAATAACCGGCATCACACACCCCGAGCAACGCGAGGAGTACATGGAAGTAGTCAGCGATGGCCGAAAAGCCGTGAATAGCTGGGCCCAGTCGCAGAAACAGAACGCCGGAAAAGGACAGTCAGTCGGTTCCTTGCTTTCCACTTTCTGGGCAAGCCAGATCGTGAAGCTGGACTCCCTTTCTCCGTTAAACTACCAAATTGGGCTGGCGTTCGTAAAGATCATGGATGCCGTGGATTCGTCAAACAAGAGTCGGTCATCAGAAGAGATCACACAACTTTGCAGGGAGATGCGAAAGGCGAACGCCATTCGGTCGGCCTCCTGGGTGGGCGTGCTGCGAAATGCCATACTCTCCAACCCTGCCGGCACACGACTGTGTAACGAGTTTGTGGCGGACTCTACGGGGCTGAAGCCCAATGAGGAGAGCAGAGATGGTTTGTCAAGGCCTGGTTTACCTGTCATGTCAATCCGCTAATAGAGACTAGGTCTTCGCAAGCTTGTTCTTTTGAACCTACTGTTATCTGGAGAGGAAGAGGTAGCGGCTTCCATTCCCACACAGCGTTTGGTGTTCTTGATCAAACACCTCATACAATGTCTTCAGTCCGAAGGCGCTTCTTTGAGCATCAAGGCTGAGATATTCCAAGTCCTGGCAGTGATGCTTCCTAACCTACAGGAGATCTACGGCTCTCACTGGGAAGATTGTATGGATATTCTTAGCACCACGTGGCAAGAGACCGGTGGTAGCGATGAAGCCATTCCTGCCCTGTTGTCTTCATTCAGACTCTTCTCTCGTCTTCGGTCAATCGCAGGCGACGAGGAGAGCAACGATGATGTGAAGGATGCGTGGTCTGATCGGAAAAACACGCTCTTTAACAGCTTGATATCGACGCTCCAGAAATTCGGTGAGTGCGGTGGATATATGTTATCAAGTTGTATGCTGACAGGGCAGATTCTTCCACCACCTTCCACCAACCCCGAGATGTAGCTGTTGATCTGTTGTGTCGCTTCCTCAATGTCATCCCGGTTGATCACCTGGAAGACGCGAGCAAGTTCTTCCCGCTTATCACAGCGCAGAGCCCTGCGGTGCAACGCGCCGCCTACACCGTCCTCCATCGGTACATTCCTAGTGTACAAGAGCAAGTGTCATTTGATGTGGCACTGTCGAAGACGACTGTCGGTCTGCCCGATGAGCTAATGTCTCTGCTGCTCGAAGCGCCAACTATGGAAGGGGTCAATGCCGCATATGGCGACGACAGGATGTGGGCCGAACTACGGTCGTACTTGCTAAGCTGGAAGGTGGTTTTCGACCACTTTGTTAATGCGGTATGTATTGATGCCTTGCTGTAGGGACCGATTCGCTGACCATTACAGTCTCTTACTGTCCAAGAAAACTACGTGACTAGTATTAAGGACAACGAAAGTCTCAGCCCACTCTTGGAGTTCATGTTCGACTTCCTCCAGCGATCAGGCGGGAAGATGGTGGATGCATCTAAATTTGACATCCGCTCCTTTGAACTCGATCAATCCGAGAGCGCCGAGAAGGAGATCCAATGGCTTCTCGTGCACTTGTATTTCTTGTGCTTGAGGCACCTGGCCAACATGACCAAGAGCTGGTGGCTCGATACGAAGAAGCGCATCAAGGGACCAGTGGAATCCTGGACCGAGAAATTCGTAAGCTGTCCCGATAGCGGGCTTGTCTCAGTATACACTAACATTGTTCTAGATCTCACCTTTGGTTATTGAGGACTCGCTTCGGGGAGTCGCTGAATGGACATCCACCCAGGATCCGAATGAAGAGCGGGCGCTGAACGTGAAGATTTCGCCCAAGACAGCGGAAATCATTGCCAGCATCCCGGTGGATGAAGAGTCGCCACCAGTGGCATTGTCTCTGTCACTCCCTCCGGCTTATCCACTGCAGCCAGCGTTGGTTGTGAGTCGAAGTCGTGTGCTTGTGGACGAGAAGAAGTGGCGCAGCTGGTTGCTGACCATCCAAGGCGTGATTATGTTTGCCAACGGCAACCTGGTGGACGGACTGCTGGCGTTCCGGAAGAACGTGCAGGGAGCGCTCAAGGGACAGAGCGAGTGCGCGATTTGCTACTCGGTTATCTCGACGGACATGCAGACACCGAACAAGCGGTGCGCGACATGCAAGAACACCTTCCACTCGGTGTGTCTGTTCCGGTGGTTCAAGAGCAGTAACCAGAGCACGTGCCCGCTGTGCCGGAACAATTTTGTTTATGTATAGGGAGTGGAAGTAGTAGAATAGGTGTACATAGAGAGTATATTGAGAGTATCACTACGATGCTGCATTTTTTGATGGTTCTCAGTATCTGTCGCATTCCGTTTTCGGAAGCCAGATGGGAACCTTCTCCTTCTATGAAGACAAAGATAGATATGATAGTATGGAAAAAATTATCCTTGATCAGCTCCTCCTGATGCTACTATCAAGTTAGACAGTCTATTTAAAAAAACATTATCTGTAAGATAGCTGATTCATGGTGGAAATGACAGCTTCAGGGTAAGCTCAGGACTACTTTGTATAGTATTAGAAGTAGAAGCCCGTGGGGGCCGGAGAGGCGGGGCACAACCAACTTTCCGCCGCGGAGCTCCAACTTGAGCTTCTCCATCTCCTCGCCAATGTCCGCCTCGCACATCCCCAACCTGAACACCCTGCGTCGCGGCGGTGGTCGCGGCCGATTTCGAAGTCGCGGAGGTGGCCAGACTGGTGATGCAGGCCACGGGTCTCATGGCGCCAAAGACCGCGTGGTGCAGGGCACCGACAATGACGCCAGCGTCTCCCGCCTCAGCGCCGTGAATCTGGGATATCTCGATGATGTCTACGCTCCTGCATTGACGCCTCCGGGCATGGAAACCCGACGACTTCCCATCATCAACAGAGGTACCTTACCTTTAAACAGATACCATCATTTTTTTTCCCCAACAGTACTTATCGTTTAACCATCATAGGTACCTACGTCCGCACCACTGCCATCGACCGCCTCGTCACCCGCTTTCTGAACGCCCATCCTTCACACCCCAAGAAACAAATCATCTCCCTGGGCGCCGGCACCGACACGCGCATCTTCCGTCTTCTTTCCTCCCCTACCTACGATGCATCGAATCTCGTCTACCACGAGATCGACTTCCCCGTCAACACTTCCGCTAAGATCAAACTCATCCGCGCCGCCCCTCTCCTCCAACGCGTCCTCAGCAGCAGCAGTAGTGACACGGTCGAAATCTCTCCAACCAACGACGCACTCCACTCGCCCTCCTACCACCTCCACCCCCTCGATCTCCGCAATCTACCCACCTCCCCAGCCCTCCCAGGCCTCGATCCCACTCTCCCCACCCTCCTCCTGTCTGAGTGTTGTCTCATATACCTCACCCCCAGCGAAGCCAGCTTGGTAGTCCGCCACTTCACAGAAACCATCTTCCCGGCGACCACACCGGTAGGGTTGGTTCTGTATGAGCCCATCCGGCCAGACGATGCGTTCGGGCGCACGATGGTGGCGAATCTAGCCACGAGGGGGATTCAGTTGCAGACCTTGCAGGAGTATGCGTCGCTGGGGGCGCAGCGACGGAGGTTACGGGAGTTGGGATTGGACGGGGGGCAGGCGGCAGCGGATGTGGAATTCATCTGGGAGAGGTGGGTGAGTGAGCGGGAAAAGGCACGGGTGGCAGGGTTGGAGATGTTGGATGAGATGGAGGAGTGGCAGTTATTGGCAAGACATTATTGTGTTGCTTGGGGGTGGAGGGATGTTCCGGGTGGAGTGTTTGAGGGATGGAGGGAGATGGAAGGGCAGGAGGAGTAAAGAGTATAGTAGGAGGTATGGAGTATTACTGTGTAGTTAGTGTGCATCATACATGATGGCTAGCTAGCTAGTTAGTTTGTTGTACCTAAGTAGTTCCCCAGACTATCATATAATTATTATATATGAATGAAAATCCACGTTGAACGCTTCGGAGCGCACAGGCCAAGGGGCGAGAAAGAGGAGAAGAAGTGGAATCCTGATGGAAAACACGGCAGTCCAAGCAACGTGCATGCAACCACCTCCAGGACCCCTGTCTATTGAATAATTATTATTGACGATTATTGCCTGATTTCATGGTACTCGACAGGCTATAATGGCAGTTTGCCTAGCAATCATTTTATTCGTGCAATCGAACTTGGCGGTAGATACGAGCGAACGAGCAAGCGAGAGACAGACTAAACATAGACTATTGCCTAAGCTAGCACCATAGCTCCCCGCCTCTGTGTACAATTGGCTTGCGTCTCCCCCTTTTCCAAACTGCCAAAGTCCGTGCCGGTCAGTGACTGAGACTAGCTCAGAGGCAGAGGCACTGACTCGATTGGACTCAAGCACTACTTTCTCGCTTATACTGGAATAGGATGCTGATCCGGTCTGGACGGGTGCTGATCGTGATGTCTTGACTGGGAGAGGAAGGGAGTGGTTGAGAGTTTGTCCCGTGTCATATTCCGTAGAGTTGAGTTGAGCTGACAGCTGGCAATAATTAAAGATTTGAGCTGGATAAGATTTCATAGAAATTTCTGTATAGTCTCTATCCCCTTCTCTGTGTCTATACTGTATCCTTTTCGTGAGTGTTTCCACCAAGTATGGAAGAGTGTCTCAAAGGGTCCACGGACCCCTTATCCATCCATCAGGAACAGTACGGTAACCTACACTATTCCACTATCCCCAAAGAAGTAATCTACGGGGGGAATTCCATGAACTGCCGCAGTGCAAAGGCCGCTGATTGGCGTGACCCCCTGAGCGGGTCATGCCTGATTGGGATCGAAGCTTTAAGGCTATCCATATTTGGTAACCCGGGGAGAGCATCACTTTCAGGCTACTAGCAGTAGACTAGTAGTCTTCTCTAGTTCTGCTGGCTGCTGGTTGTGGGTTTCTCTTTTCTCTTGTCTCTTCCCTCGTTCTTCTCTCTTTCCTCTCGTCTTTCTTTCTCTGCTTCGGTCCAGTCTCTCGTTCTTGTGTCTTTACTGACCCTAGTCTTTCGTTTCGCGTGGTCTGTCGTGGTGTCGTATCATATGATTATTATTATCTTCTAACCTATCCCTCTGCCTATCTGCTATATATCTCAAAAAACTGACCCATACATATCACATCTCTCCACCTTTGGTTACATATACATACATTCATACATACATATACACCTCTCATACAACAATGAAGGCCACTAGCGCAACGGTGGCTTTCCTGGCCATTGCTGCTGTCCAAGCAGCCAAGCACGCCCATGACCATGGCCACCACCGTAGCCATCGCTCGGTGGATAGCCCCGTGGTCAAGAAGAGTTCCTCGTGTCAGTTCCCTTCCGGGGCTGGCTTGATCCCCATCACTCCCCACGAAACCAATGGTGGTTGGGCGATGAGCCCTGATCAGGAGTGCAAGCCTGGCGGATATTGTCCGTATGCTTGTCCAGCCGGCCAGGTCTCCATGCAGTGGGACCCGGAGGCTACTTCGTACACCTACCCCATGTCCATGGTAAGTGCTTCTCCTGGGAGATATCTGTGACTCGCGACTGATGAGATAGAATGGTGGACTGTACTGCGACGAGAATGGCGAAATACAGAAGCCATTCCCGGACCGTCCCTACTGCAAGGACGGCACGGGCGTCGTCAGCGCGAAGAACAAGTGCAAGGAGCAGGTGTCTTTCTGCCAGACTGTTCTTCCGGGCAATGAAGCCATGCTGATTCCCACGCTTGTTGAGGAATTGGCTACCCTGGCTGTTCCGGATCTGAGCTACTGGTGTGAGACTGCGGCGCAGTATGTTCTCTGTTGCTCTTTTTTTCGTGAGAGGACATGATACTGACAGTACTAGCTTCTATATCAACCCTCCGGGATACAACACCGAGACTGCCTGTGTCTGGGGTACCTCCGAGAACCCCTACGGCAACTGGTCCCCGTATGTTGCCGGTGCCAACACCGACGGCGACGGCAACACCTATGTGAAGCTCGGATGGAACCCGATTTACCTAGAACCGACTACCCCGTTCCGCAACGAAGTCCCCGAGTTCGGTGTCGAGATTGAGTGTGAGGGAGACGGTTGCAATGGACTGCCATGCAAGATCGACCCATCCGTGAACGGCGTAAACGAGATGACTGGCGACAGCTCGGTGGGTGCAGGCGGTGCATCCTTCTGTGTGGTGACGGTGCCCAAGGGCGGAAAGGCCAATGTCGTTGTCTTCGACAAGGACGGCGGTGACTCTACCAGCGTGCCGGTGTCCAGCAGCAGTGTCAGCAGCATCGTCGTGAGCAGCAGCGCCAGCACCAGCAGCACCTCGACCAGCAGCATCGTCCCTACTACGAGCAGCACGCCGACGAGTGTCAGCACCAGCACCAGCACCAGCACCAGCACTAGCAGCAGCACTAGCAGCAGCACCCCGACCCCGACGCCGTCCAGCACTACTACTACTATCTCCAGCACCACTCTCAGCTCCAGCTCCACCATCAGCACCACCAGCTCCAGCAGCATAACTCCCCGGCCCACCCCCAGCTGGACGCCCTCTTCCAGCTGGAAGATCAGCTCGAGCGCAGCACTGAACCGGACCGTGTCGGCTAGCTACACGTACAAGCCACACGTGATGGTGGAGACGGGCTCCTCGCACACGCAGCCTGTAGCTGCTGCTGCTGTTGCCAGTGAGGGCTCGAGCCAGACGACTGGAACTGCTCAAGCAACGCAGTCAGCGGTTGTGACGGAGGGAGCTGCTGTTAGCACTGCCGTGTCGAAGCTGAGTCTGATCGTGGCCGTTCTTGGAGCCATTGTCATGGTCTAGACAATAGACCATGTTGACCATCATACCGATCAACTGTGTCGGTTGCATACTCACTCACCATCATCATTTTTCTTGGTTCACTTCTGATGGGCAACCTTTTTCACACTTATACTTATACCCTTATGATTGACGTTCTTGTATATGCTTGATTGATGAGCATTTATCGATAATGTTTACTGTTAATATAGTCATTAATTTCCTGTGAAATTCCAAGTGCCACTTAGCACAGAGTAGAGGTAGAACAGTCCCCATTCAGAGACGAGCTTCCATCTGTAGTTCAAATGAGTAGCAATGCAATCATTATTAAATAGCCACTCAGATCAGAAGATACTAGATAACCACAAGCGAAGTGGAGTAGCGTTGAACCGAAAACACAAAGATGCAGCCAGCTTGTGTCAATGCCAAAGCGGGAGCAAACCAATCGGCCCACCTCCACCTCCACCTCCACTGCCTAACATCATCATCGCCATCTCCTCACCACCTCTCTCACCACCTCTAACTCCCACTCACTTCCACAGAGAACCAGCACAACACAACCAAGATGCCTCCCTCACCACAAACAGTAAGCCCTCCATACCTTCCATCCCTTCCACCCTCTCCCCTCAATCCACCACCCTCACCAACCCCCTTCCCCTCCCCTCCTCCCCCCCGCACCCCTCCAACCACACCCCCCAAACTAACCACCCAACCCTCCAGGCAAAACTAACCAGTACCCTCCACCTCCTAATCCCACGCCTCCGCCTCCTTCAAAAGAAAGACACCGCCAGCTCCGTCGTCCAACGCCGGGACCTCTCCACCCTACTATCTGAGAACCGGTCTACGAGCGCGCGCATCCGCGTCGAGAATGTAATCGCGACCGACACCGCCGTCGAAGTCATGGAGATGGTAGAACTATACTGCGAACTGCTTCTCGCGCGCGCGAATCTCCTCGATCAATCAGCCTTCGGGGAGAAAGGCGCGCGCGCGAGAAGTAGAGCCAGGGAGGAAGCCCAGAGACAACAACAACGACAACAACATGCCTCGACCACTGCGTCATCATCATCTGCTGCAGGGAAAAGTTCCTCCGGGTCGGGGTTCTCGTTCTGGGGATTCGGTGGTCGGAAACAGACACAACATGATCCGCGACCAGAACCGGAAGTACCAGGTGGGGAAGTAGGAGGGGAAAAAGAAGGCTACATTGATCCGGCGCTCGATGAGGCCGCGGCGGTGATATTCTACTCGTATGCGCGGTTCCCGCATGATGTTCGGGAGATGACTATCCTGCGGGGATTGCTTACGGATAGATGGGGGAAGGATTTCATGATGCTGGCGCAGGAGAATAAGCTGGAGGATGTGAAGGTTCCGGAACGGTTGATTAGAGGGTTACGTGTGAAGCCGCCGTCCGAGGAGTTGGTGGAGAGTTATCTTGTGGAGATTGCGAGGGCGTATGGGGTTACTTGGCCTGATGGGTCTCATGATGCGCCGGAGGGGGATGTGCCGAGTTTTGTTGATGAGGGGGCGGGAGGGGATGAAGGGGATGATGGTGGGGAGGATGATGAGGGGGATATGAAGTTGCCATCTACCCCGAGGAAGATTGGCCAGTCTGGTGATAGTGAGGAGGCGCGACGGGCATCCGAGACACTGGAGTTGAATAAGGCGACGCCGCCGCGGGGGCTATATTCTGAGGGAAAGAGTCCGGTGAGTGTGGCACCGCCGGGGCCGAGGGTGGATAATCTGCATCCGAAGGTGAAGGTGCCCGGGGAGGAAGATGTGTCTAAAGAGGCAAGCAAGTCGAAGCCGGCGAAGAGTGACATACCCGAGTTGGATGAGTTGACGAGACGGTTTGCGGCGTTGAGACGGTGACATGCACAATCACTCTCCATTCATACTTACGACGGTTATGAGATTCAGCACGAGCAAAGCAACTTCTATTAGATGCATGCATCCATCTATCTATCCTCTCTGTTCTCTCTTTTGTCATCCAATGCATAATGTAACAGCAGGTATAATATGTCAACAGCAACCGCTCACAATCCCAGAAACCAGTAACAATCCAAAGCACACGTCCGGACACCGCTATGCAATGGGTCCATTATATATATGTACAAGAAGCAATTCAAACGCCTGTGCAGTGAAGTATGAGATGAAAATAATGAAATGAAAAAACAAGCAAGATTAATCAGTCCCGCTCTTCTTCCTCGCCTGGAAGGAAGACTTCATGTCCGGAACCCTCGTAGACAAAAATGGCTGCGACACAGCCAAATACCGACACCAATGCAATCAGCCACCAGGCAAATCCGACCATGCCCATCTCCAGACCGTAGCCGTACCATGATCCGGAAAAGATCGGTCCAATGGTACGGAACGCCGAGGACACAGACTGGCCGATGCCGTGGATGGTGCCGAGCACGGACGGGTGCGGAGAGCAGTTGTTTAGAAGGATGATGGAGGTGGGAAGAGTAAAGGTTCGTGCGGTCACTTGCAGGAACAAGACCACAATAATGGAGAACCACACCCATCCGCCGTTTGCCTGGCCCGGCGGGGGTGCGGACGACGGAGCCAGAGCAATGTACGGCGCGAATGCATACGCCAGAGGGAAGAGGGTCAAGAAGTACTGGTAACTCTTGGCCGTACCCAGACGGTTGTTGATACTGGGGTAGATGGTGAACTGGAGGAGCATTCCAATCACGCCGAGAATGGCAGTAGCGAAACCAACACTTTGCGGCAGCATACCCAAACCGCCAGTGAAGATGAAGGGCAGTCTCTGGACCGGGCTGGCCGGGTCGTTGGCATCATAACGCGGAGTAGAGAGGAAAAGCAACCAGAGGTTGTTGAAAGCACCCATCTGAAAGTCAAAGAACGCCTGCGCCAACAGCGTGCACAGCACGTTCTTGGTCCAGATCCGGCGGAAAGGCAAGGTGCGAGCCTGGCGGCTTGTCTTGGTCGCCTTCTCTTCCATCTCGTAACTTTCGGCCGGGTCTCTGCGGTTCAGCAGAGGACCAGCCTCGTCGTAGTCCGCGAACGGCAGTCTCTGGTACAATGGAGAGTTCGAGGGAACCACTGCCCGAATGCCGCGAGCAAAGATGCGCATCGAGAACACGCCCAGACCGGGCTTGCCCTTGCAAGCTTCCAGAGTCTACAACACCAATTAGCAGTGCGCATAGCCGACCTTAGCAAAATGACTTACCTCTTCAAGACCGATGGCGACACAGACCGCAGCAAACGTCAGGAAAATGGCATTTGCCAGCATGGGCAGCGCATACGGGTAGCGAATAAGCCACTGCACACCGTCGGCGCCTCCAAAAGAAGAGTCAGGACCGAAGAGTCGAGGATAAGCCTTGACCGGATCAGCCAGCATACCACCCATCACTAAACCGTTAGCTTGTAGCCACATACATCACAGAAGATGTACCTACCCGGTCCGAACAGCGCAGCGACATTAAACCCGATAGGCAGAATCAGGAACGCGCGCGAGTGGTATTTCTTCTCCTTGACATTCTCCGCAATCATGGTCCGAATAATACCCACTGTTCCGTTGATGGCACCGCCAAACGAACGCCAGAACACGGCCTGCGCGAAAGACGTCGAATAGGCAACACCCAGACAGGACAGTGCGGTACCGATAAGACCAACCAGCAAGACGAATTTCCGACCACCCCATTCTGCATCGGCCACACGGCCCCAAGGGATGGCTGTCGCAAACTGCGCGGCGGTAAAGGCACCCTGGAGGATACCGGCCTGGGTGGAGACATCGGCGTCGGAGAGGTTCTCATCGAAGGATTTCAGTTGGTAGAACATGTACGCCTGCAGGGAGGCAATCTGAAGGAAGTCGAAGACACGGCAGAGACCCAAGAGAGCCAGCTGCCCTTTGCGCGGAAGGGACATCCATGTTACCGGTGCTGGACGAGGCCGGGGAGCCGACGAGTCGGCCAGTTCTTGAGGTTGTAAAAGCGACATTTGTGGCTGGCTGTAGGAATGGGAGCGGCTGCGAGCGTGTCCAGGACCCCAGTCGAAGGAGGTGTTTCTCATGGCCATGTCGGCGTGCGAGCGATGGTCGTCGGAATCGTCGTCGTAGCGGCCGGAAGAGCCCTCAGAGACGTCGGCTAATGAGATGTTGGATTCTCTGCGACGACGTTGTTGAGAAGAGGTTAAGTCCGCGGGGTCGGGTTCGCCGCCTTGATCGTGACCGGATGTCCAGGAAGTAGCTCGGGTATGACGAGCATTCCGGCTCTTGGAGGATTGGGCGAAGGAGGAGGAGGTGGCCGAGAGGGGGTTGGGAGTGGCCGCTGGAGTAGAGATGGCCGAGGAAGGGGTGGTGGAGGAAAGCGATAAAGAGGGTAACGACGGACGCCCGGCGGTTCCTTGAGAGCCGGATTTTGGCGCAGGCATTGGAGAGTTACCTTTTGGGGGCGGGCGGCGAATGATGATAGGGCAGCCCACGGTACTGGAGGAGAAACAACTGAACTACTAGAAGGAAGGGAGGGGCCGGACCGGGGCTTGCTTGGTGGTTGGGTTTCGGTCAGGTCAGATCAGATCCACGAAAAGAGAAGAAGCGAGAATGAGAGACTGGAGAAGAAGCAGTAAGAAAAGAAAGAGAGAGAGAGAGGAAGAAAGGAATGGACGGGAAAAGGCAGAGAAGATCGTGAAGAGACGGAGAGAAAGTCAGTCAAAGTCAGTCAAGACCATCAGGAGAACTGCCGTACTCAGTAAGAACTGGGAATTACTTTACTTACTGTCGGATGTACTGAACAACTGATTGTTACTGAATGGAAAATTAATGAAGTATACGCCCAAAAAAGAAATATCCATGAAATTAAAAATAAATCGAATAAATTAAATCTTTTTCTTTTTTTTCTTTTCTTCCCTCATTCGGATCGGCAGCGATTCCCCGAGCTTGCGACGACTCTTTCGTCGGTTCTCCACCTCAACTCGTCCGTTCCTTCCTCGTCCGGCCTTTTGGCGTCTTGGCACTCATTTTATCCCCCGTTGAATTTTCCTCTTTTCTTTTTTTTTCATTTTTTTCATTTTTGTTTCGACACAATTGAATACCCACTTTTTCCTCTTTCTCTTGCTACGAACTAACGAGGATGATACTTCCACTGTAGTAAACTAAATAGTAAACTAAACCCATCTCTTCCCCGGCTAAACAGACCCTCACCAGCGTCTCATCCAGACGACCTGGATCTTTTTCTCTTCCCGTTACCTTGAAACAAATCCCCATCCATGCGCCAAAACATTCTTCTTTCAGAAAGTGACTACGTAGCAACTTCCGACTCCGACCAGCTGATGTGGATGGGGCTGGGGAAAACAAAATTTTTTTTCTTTTGGGATTAACTTCTAAACGAAGTTATGCAGGCTGCGTCAGACGTCAGACATCAAAGCCTTCAGGTCAGCTTTCTGGCAGACGTACGCAATTCGATGCGTAGATAGATAGGATTGATTAGTAGCAAGTGACGGAAGTTGACATGCAGTTCGGTTGTTGGTTCGGGGCGCGTCCGCACGAGTCAGTTTCTTCCTGTCAGCGACTTACTTTTCTCGTTGTCGGCGTCATCCATTTCTACTGTATTATTGCCCGTTGTCCCGTTGCCGGTTTACTCGGCTTTGTGTATGTATCGTCAGCCGATGACCGTCCCGTGTATTATCCGCTGTATGGTATGGTTTGTAGTTACTACTGACTAGATGGTATGTTTGAGACGAGGAACGGGATTGATCATGTCTTGTCTATACATATATCTAATATTCATCTTTATATTCATGTATATAAGCACATCAATGTTCACACTTATTATAATGTTTCCCAAAACGGGAATTATCTATCGCGCATAATGTCCATCCGGTCGCCAGGACGGACTCCGTTGTTCTGCCAACGGAAAGTACCGCGGTGGCTCCTGTGACTTCGTCCAGCGACGCCAATGCCACCACGGGGTCTCCGATTCCGTCCAGGGCTTGGACCTCTCGACCCTATCTACACTCTCCGTCGATGCCCTCTCCTTCACCCGGCTAAATTGCTGCTGGCGCCGGTATATCCGCATAATGGTATAGATAGCCACGATGGCAACGACAAAGCCGAAGACCGGGGCGATCCATCCCACGTTGTTATCTAGATTACGATAGTCAGCGGGGTTACTCTTCCTGCCGTCAGCGGGAGTCTGCTTACCATAAACACTCTTCAGATTGCCGGACCCGCTCTCACTGTCCTCCGAATCATCCCCGGTCTGACCCCAATCGAAGTGCGCATCGGGGTGACCAGGATCGACCCAAGGGACGGTGTTGATACCCGCTGGGGGAATCACAGGTCCAGCGCCCTCCTCGCCAGGCATTCCATACGTCTGCGCATTCTCACATGATTCCCTACCACAGTGGCCCTGCAGATCGGGCGACGGCGTGAAGGTAAACATGCTGCGCGACTTGCCCAGAACCTTGCCCTCCACATCCACCGCCTCCGCGTAGGTCCATCGGTAGAAGTGTGGTGCTGAGTAGCTCGTCTCGAATCCCCTCTTCTCAACCTGCTTGATGAGCATATACGGGCCGGTCGAGTTGGTCGCGCCGTAGAACCGCCAGTACTTCACCCGCGTAGCTCCGTTCCAGCTGACATAGAACGTCGTCGGGGAGAAGGTGTCGATGGATTGCGAGTACGTCCACAGCGCCGGCACGTCGGTAGGCATTCCATCCCACTCGAACTTTTGCGCCCGGTAGTTCATGATGCGATCCTTGTCGATATAACCCCAGAGCAGCACGTTGCCTTCTTCGTCATGTTCGGAAACATAGGCGTTGTTACCCCACCCAATGAATACGTTCTTGTTCGGAAGGACCTGCATGTTACCCTGACTGGAGCTGATCATGGTCTTGCCGGGAGGGGAGTAGTCGTGGAGCTGGGTGGCGGTGTTGTCCTGGTGGTCGATAAGGATAATCATGCCCGAGGAGAAGTCATGGGTGCGGTTGAACCCATTGAACCCGTTGTTATACAGAGACAGCAAAGTGTGGGTGGAGTTTTCACCAAGCCACCGCGCATCGTGCTGCTGCGAGAAACTGAAGTTGATGTTCTTGAACGTGGGATGCGCCCCATGCAACCGCCAGATGATGGATCCATCCTTGCCGGAGATCTTGTAGATCGCGCACGTGTGGCGCGAGGAGATCAAATAATCGCCGTCAGCGTTCTTATCGATCGAGTTGATATGGAAGTAATCCCAGGGCGAGCGCGGGTCCAGCCCAGTGCCCGACGTATCCGTGTGACTCGGCCAGGTGTAGGCGTCCGAAGGGTCGACGTGGTCGAGGGACTTCCACTCGAACAGAACTTCGTTGGTCTCCACATCCACCTCCTGGAAGATACTCTCCATCACCCATCCCATGCCGGACTTGACGTTCCACGGGGACATGTCGAACTGTCGCTGCTGGTACACTGTCATCAAGGCAGTCTTGCCGTCATTGATAGGCATAAATTCGTGCATATCGCTGGATGCCATGCCGCCTCCGGGAACCACGGTTCGAACGATGCGATAGTGGTCATCCATGATGACCCCATGACCTCGGCAATACCCATTCTGCTGAACACCCTGGAAGAAACACAAGTGATCCTTTCCCTTGTACTTGCACACGTGCATGCCGTGGGCATTTCCGGGGCCCGAGTTACCCCAGCCGCTCCAAACTAGGTTCTACAACGGGGTCAACATCATACAACACACTTGGGCAGGAACATCAGAAGCATACCCCCTCATCATCATAGATATACGGGCCGGAATTGGACGCTTCGTACGGGCCGACAAAGATGTAACCCGGACTAAGCTTGTCGGGAACTCTATGTTCCAAAGTAAGGACTGGGGGATAGAGATCGGGTCGCTGCAGGTGGACGTTGAGACAAGGTTAGCGATCCGGGGTGGCGAACATCTTGGCTATTATTGCGTGCAAGAAAGCTGCGATAACGCTAAAGCGAGGCGCAACTCACAGATTTGAAGACCGAATCGATCTCGGCGACGACGGTCTGTAGGCATGCGAGTAGTAATAGCGCCACACAGACGACTATGGAGGACGGAGCCGATCCTCCGGCGATATGAGTGAAGAGCACCATGGATTCTTTACATCACTTGCTCGGAGTGAGCTCGGAAGTTGATAGGAAGATCGAATGAGCGAGAGGAGAGAAAAGAGAAAGGAATGTCGATGAAAAGATGAAAATAAGGATGCAGATGGCGAGAAAATCCCACAGTCAATGCAGGGCCACCTGATCGGGGTGTCAAGGTATGTACCGAAGTATGTATACAGGGATGAAAGAATGGGGGGAAGGTTCGGGGAGAGTAGGGGAAGGGATCAGCGGTTGATGATATAAAGGGAGGAAGAGAGGGCGAGAGGGAGAGATAGAGGAAGACGAAAGCGGCGAAACGAGGACCACAGGACGCTTCTCGACTTTCTCTCCTTCTGTTGAATCCTCTTTTTCCCTCTGCCTTTTTTTGCCCGCAAACCCCCGGGGATAACGTTTTGGCAATCCTGCTTTATGCTTCAGGCTGGCCACAGTTCGTTACACCCGATTTCTTCGTTTCGCCGGTGGAGTCGTGCCAAGCCCAGCCAACGTACGATGACACCCAAAGTGGATTAGCCACAGCGAGCCGGAGTTCTGGAAATGTAGTGACTACAAACCGTGATTGGTTGATCGGGCGGGGACAGGATAAGATCCCCACCCCGATCCGGCACTGGCTGTTCATGTTTATTGCAGTCGTGCAGCAGGGATGGAGAAATATCTCCATACCTCAGAGGCACCGTCTTAGGCAAGAAGGTCCATGTTGGCATGGCATACAGAGTTAATCAACATGTGTTGGTCCATACCGACATATGACAGATAAGACTCGGTCTGTCAGAGGATGTTTGTTCTAAGGCGGACCGTAGTAATAGGAAGACAACTGCCGTGTGATTTCATCCAACTTTAATCGTCATCACGTTGCGAAAGATAGACGATCTTGTGGCGCATTTGGCACTTGCCTCGTAACTAGGAAAGTTGTCTATCCTAATGCTTAGTTCGGGCACTTATTTACAGAACACGTTGAAGTACTACGTAGACATGACCACCTCCTGACCATCCTCATTTTATCTCCTGGACAGAGCTTAATCCTTGTATGTATAGCACCACCACAACGAAGCACTCCAACGAATCCTAACCAAGCAAATGATAATAATTACTATCCCACCACACCGAAATAAAGGATATGAAAAGCAACGATTCGACCCCATCTCCTCAGCTCACATCTACGGCGTACTAGACCACCAACTTGCGGAGAGGGAACATACGTACCCCCTCCACGTAGTACATCCCCCAACACCCATCTAGTCCAATCCACGCCAGTCCTCACATCCCAACTACCACAAATCACAGCACCGATTGAGGGCACTCCCTACTTACCCTTCCTGCTAGCTAATAAAAGCAGCCGCCCACTAGATACTTAGATCCTCCCTGAACCCTTCAAATAACACCACTAATTACTCTTACTACTAGCCAGCGGATCAAGGAATAGATAAAGATAGATATACACACACGCGTAACCCATTACCGGGGGGTATACTTACATCCGTACCGACCCGGTAAACCATGGAACCAGTTGACCCCCGGTGAAATTGGTTGTGTTTCGTTAACGCCGAACCTAACACCCAATCAGGAATAGTCGCCACGCTGCCACAGGCAAAATTCATGAATAGTTAGTTATGTCCAGGGCCAGACCAAGGGGAACTGAGAGGGGGGCCCATGCCGACGCCACGTCACGCCGCAGTTGTGGTTGGAGCAGGAGAAGGAAAAACACTGGTGGAGTTGCGAGGGGAGGAGATTCTCCACTCATTTAGTCTGATTGATTGATTAGTTGATGGGCTGGGCCTTTGCACTAGGTACCTGTCTAGTGAGGTAGGTAAGTTATTTGCCGGGCCGGAATTGGGAGTGCGAGTCAGGGCTGTGATAGGGGATGGGATTCTTGATTCTTAATTATCTAGTAGATAGTTGTTGCTTGGAGAGTACTTACTAGATAAGTGGTTATGCATGTGGCTGAGAATGTCGTGGCTGGCTGGTCGTATTCATCTCTTAACATTGCAAAAAGAGACAGCCACGATTAGTCATCGGATATGAAAGGATGAAATGAACAATGGAGACAAACCCGACAATAAACAGGCCCGAATAGCTTGGCAGAAATCCAATAGTCCCAAACAGAAGAAACAGAAACAAAAACACTAAACGAATACGGCACCGGGTCATGGGTCACACAGACATCGAATCCTGGCGCTTGCAGAACATGTACTTTCCTTATGCTGCATTGGATGCATCACAATACAACACAACACTCTTACGTAGATAATTTTAGACAGGTTCATAAGCGCTGCACTCTCATCTCCGAATCCTTGGCTGTATCAGCGGAACTCTATTATTAGCCGCCGCCACACCACCCCTTTCGTCGCAGCACAGCTTCAGTTTAGGCGGCGGAGGCGGCGGGTGTAGGAGCCGCTCATTTTTGAGAGTCATGGCTTGCATAACTTACTAACCGACCAGCTAGTTCACTGATTAGCTAGTGATTCGGAGATTTTGATCGACTTATGCCGGGCTCAATGGTTTATGCTCCACGTGCTGCTCGACATTGCGCATAAGGATATGTTGCACTTTGTTGTTGTTGTTGTTGCCAACTGGCAATGAGTACGGGCTTATTGGTATGGGTGGTTATTTTCCGTTATGCGCTGGGCGGGCGCCCTGTGCATGCACCTTGGTCAATAGATCTGCTGTAAGCAAGCCTGAAATACGGAGTTAAGAAAGTCAAGTATGTGATGGATGAACATCAATGCTCTAACTACGTACTACGTACTTGCTTACCGCCAGGCTCAGCTGGCATACAAGGCTGGGCTGGGAACCGCGCCGCCGAGGATGTGCCAAGCACAACGGGCTCCAAGTCGCACAGCCCATGTCAGCAACCGACCGCCATGGCCTTGTAGGGCGCGCGACAACTCCCTATGCAGGCCAAGACGGATGCTCGGCGCCTTCCACCGTGCGAGGGCGAGGGGTGATGGTGGTTGAAGTTGTTGGCAGCGACACTGCATGCCGAGGCTCGCCTACAGATTACCTACAGATTACAAACCCCGGCCAAGAATACACCACACGGAAGCAGCCATGCTAATAGGCTAAATAATCTATATTCATCTCTCGTCGACTCCATCCACGCCAGGCAACAAGAATCCATGACCGGTCCCTGCGCAACAAGTCTAACCAACATAGCCCAGAAATGTCCCCCCCACTGTAAGCCATAGAGCGAGAAACCCAGCCAAGAGCCAAGGAAATAGCAGAACATCAGTGCACCCAATATTAGCAACAAATACCCCTGAGAAGGCGGTACGTTCATCGGTATATATCAACATGAGAAAAGCAATTTTGGGAATAATTAAGGGAAAATAAAGCATCGACCAGCAGCATTGGCGCCCAGCGCATGCTGCAAAGGGGGAAGGAAAGAAAGAAAGTTCGAAGCAAGAAGCGCATCTACCGAGAGAAACGCTTGAAGGCCATGGTGGCAACCAAGCCCGTCGCCAGCAGAGCACCACCCATGGTGACAGCCTGCAGAGCGGCGTTCAGCATCTGGCGCCTGTTGCGGCCGCGGCAGCGCTTGAAGAAGTCGGCCATGTCGTTACCGCGGGGGAAAGGAGTGTCGGGGACCTCCTCACCCAGGAACTCGCAAAGCGGGCCCCAGCCCTCGCCGATCTTGTACTCGAGGAGCCTCTCAGGAGGAACGAGGCTGCGGACCTCCTCAACGTGGTCAAGGTAGACCTGCTTGCCCTTGTTGGGGAAGTCGCCGCGGAAGAAGGTCTGGAAGAACTTGTTGAGCATGGGGTAGTACATGCTAGCGGCCCAGCTGAAGTTCGAAACGAACTTGTGCTCGGGGTCGGAGACACGCCACCAAACGGTCTTCATGACGGAACTGCGGAAAGGGATTAGACTGATGATCTTTATATCTCAGAACGGAGTATAACGTACGCATGCCACGATTCAACATCACGGGTAGTCAGAATGACCTTGGCGTTGGGGTAGGCCTCGATCAGCTCCTTAGCAAAGGCACAGGCAGGCCAGTCACAGACGGCCTTTTGGAAGAGTTAGCGTGCGAGTTCGTTGCGAGCGATCTAATAGCGACCTACCTGGCAGTCTCCCAGAAGCTGATCCCACTCCTTTCTACCGAACTCGCCGACACCGTCGTACTTGGCAGCGAGAGCATCGTGCCACATCAAGCAGTCGGGAGGGTTCTCCATACTGGCGGACATCATGTGGTAGGTCTTGACGTAGCCCAGACGTTCGAGGGCAATGCGGAGGGCTATTCACGGAACCAGTCAGTCATGTAATCCGTCGTCTGCCTCCCAAGTAAAACCTACAAGCAGTTCCGGTTCTTCCCACACCCAGAGCCAGCACCTTCATGGGAACGGTGCGGTGGCACTTGCGGCGGTCGATGCAGGTGTCATCGGTGAAGATATCAGTGATAGGCTGAGGAGCCAAGTTGTCGGCGTGAATCAAAGACATGATGGACTATAGGTGAAATATGCGTGTGTGGTTCAAGTATAGTAATGCGAACTGGATGTACTACCCGGGGCTCGCTGGGGTGTAGTGTAGTGTAGTAGTAATGAAGGTGTAACTCTGCAAGGGACCGCTGGTCGCAAAGGAAGGAACAGGTCTTAAAGACAGCAGACGAACTGAATCCAACCAGAGGAAGACAGACGAGGATAGAGACAAGAAAAAGAATGTAAGAGAGAAAGAAAGAGAGAAAGAAGTGGATTCCAGAGCAGGCGTTGCAGAGATTAAAAGGAGCCCGGGAGTAGATCAAGAACAATCAAGGTGATGGAGTCGTAGATAACCCAGCAACCCCCAGAAAGGCTAGACTCGATGGGAGGGTAATAATAAGATCAGACTAGGAAAAGCATCTTGGCGCCTCTGCGCCGAAAGAGTAAATTAAAATTCATTTACAATTTCTGGATTTTGAAGAATAAATGACGACCAGACTGAATGTGGCAACTCTCCTGTCTCTGGGGAAATCCGCGAAGGGAAACCTCGGATTGGTCTGGCCGGTCCTTTGGATCTTCATCCACTCTTGGACCATTGGAAACATGAATACTTCTGAAACGGCGCGCGTTTATTTTCTTTTCCCGAGTATACTTTTTTTGTTGTAATGGTAATAATAATTGTCTTGTTTTTTCTTTGAATCAATTGATTCTTGTCTCTTTTGCAATCACACATTTCACTTCCATCCCTTCCTTTCCCCGGCGGAGACCCGCCGGCTGCTAACCCACGTTCTGCAAACATTCCTCACAAGGATGGAAGTGACATTGATAACCACCCTGTCGATAGTATTATAGGTCCAATAATAGAGTAGGCTGTTAGTACTCCTGGGGTACAAAGTATAACCGAAGGGGATAACCATCCAACCCTCCCTCTCCCTCCCACCCAAAAAAAGAAACCTTGATTACCCGACAGAAAAATAGACGTCACCGGCTGACGTTCACCCGAAAAGCCAGAAGGATAGTCAGGGGGTGGATTTGGTTCTCCTCCACTCAACATGAAGAAGCAGTTGAATTTCCACGAATCTCGCCAAGGGGAAACCCGAGGTGCTGGGCCAGTCACAAGCGAGCAGGAGGCGAGAGGGGATTCAGGGAATCAATCAATCGATTCCATTCAGGGAGGCCCAGCAGCGGCGCGGCGGGGCACCAGCAGAAGCAGAAGCAGAAGGGGAACAAGATGGAAACATGCCAAGCCTGCCTGTCGCTGCATCCCAGGGATCGGCCGCGTAGGCCTGCGTTTCGCCGGTCGATCGTTGAGCTTCTGGATTCTCTGGATTGGATCTTGTCCTCATAGGCTCAGCTGTCGAACCGTGCCCGGACTCTCACTCATTGGTTGTAGCCACAGTTGACGACGCGTACATTTCTCCGTCTGTTGCTTGGATAGTGCCACTCCCCGCCCGGGCTAATGTTAAGCCACCCACGCCATTCCAGCAAGTAATAATGAAGAAAAGAAAAGAAACTAAAGAAAAAGGGGAATAATGGTCGAACCTTTCTACTTCGAACATCTGAAAATAAAAGGAAAAGAGCCGTGCATGACAATTTTCAGCATGGTCTCCGCTCAGGGATACATAGTTACATTGGTACGAGTTACGAAATGCGAAGCAAAGAAAAAGCCTGAAACGTATCCTCCTCTTCTTCCATCTCCACCATACTCCAGGGTCTGTTCTGTTACGTATCATACTCAGTATGCCCCTGCATTCCTCCCTGTGCGGTGTAAGGGTGGAAATCTCTGCAAACTATGCTGAGCTGCGGTGTTTACCAGCAGCAGCACACCCATTCTGCTTTGAGATATGTAAGACTTAGTAGATGTGCAGAGTACAAATTAGCCTGTCCATGTGTATACTTCGGACATGGAATGTTTTACCCATGGAAATTCCTTGGTAACAAAGGTAGTGTGCAGTTAGCATGGCTGGGAGTGGCATTACTCTCCATTTCACTCCTTCCCGTGATGCTATCCCAATCCGGCTAGTCCCTCATCCTGGTCAACACCATGAGCATCTAATTCTGACGACCTTTCTTCCCTCCAGTGCTCGGTATACAGATCTATTGCCAGACAGACAGTTGGAAGACCGCTTGGATCTCTCCAACAATAACTATGGCGCTATGACACATGACGACCCGGATTGCTGCCTGTTCGTTCAGCGCTGCCCGGTATGAACTGGTTCTGTGTCGGACGCTACGAAGTATACGGCTCTCGACTCCGAATCCATCTGTTGAAGCCCCACACCCGCTGCGACAATGGAGGCAAGCTGCTTTGAGAAACCTCAGTAAAGCGTGTGAGTAAATGAGCTGTCACAATTGATACAAAGTGCATTGCATTCAAGTGTGTTGGACATGACCCTGATCCCACTACAGAGAAGCTTCACGGCGGTGTTGGAACTTGTCCTATCTCACTGTGGATCTATAGAAAGATCGACACGTTTTCTACGAACTATCAAGGTCCTATACGGTCTACAGAACACGAAATAGGCAGTTCTTGCCAGAAATCATGTTTCGAGTATCCCAGGTAGGCAATCTAAGCGTCTGCTTTAGAGCTTGAGATGCGAGGTCCAGTGCCCGACACCATCCACTATAATACTGTCCAGTGTCCACAATCTTGCCGTGCGGATGCTCTGACACCGACCCGTGCCTTTGTTCCACTGTGGAACAACTTGGAGCTTGAACGGTTGTCTCCATCTGGTGGCGGCTGTACACTTCCACGTCGTCGTCCGCGTAACTTGTCCAAGCCTCATCGATTGTATCCCTCTCCGCCAATGGCAATGGTGCATGGTATTAGCCTTCAGAGCAAGCATTTCTAGACTCATACTGGCCTGAATTAGGGTACAATATAGTGTGATTCCTCGTGGAACGCCACCCTTGGGATGTGATCACCTCTGACTGTGGACTATATGTTTCCCGTATAGGCTGTGTACCCACAATATTCCGAGGCACGGGCTGTCTAAGGTTAACCGTCAGGAGATAATCGAGCAAACAATTTCCCGGCGTGCCCTTCAAAACGTGTGTATCTGGACAAAACCGTGTCATACGACGCTTGACAAAGAGCCCTTTTTGCTTACGCTTGCTCATCTGCCAATTTGGCCACCTCAGTTGTCTGTCTACCTCGCAAGTACCTGCGACGTGACGTGTGGTGGTGGCTCAGCAAGTGGACGGCGTCAACTTTACTGCAATAGTCCTTTCCGAACCAAAGAGGCAAACTGAAGCTGATCCATCGACGAATCCAGTCTCCACATGTTATGAACACGCATAACCAGACAATCCCCACGCACTTCTCACTTGACTCGTCTTGGTTGTTACGGCCGAGCCTAGAAAATTGAAACTCGCCTTACCCGACCCAGTCCAAGCTGGTGCTACGGTCGACTAGTCCGACTGCCCCGTGAAAGTGGAAATTGACTAGTGCCGCCCTCTCCGCAAGCCAGAAGAGTCTCGAAGGCTTTGCGGTCTTGAGAAGGTGAGAAAATTAGTTCAGCGAGAGTTCGTATTTCCAAAGGTTTCTTGAATTTCCCTGTTCTCTCTCTTTTCCTGCCTCCCCCTTTTCCTTTCTCAAAAACCGCGCATCCTAGGGACAAAGTTGGAAGTCAGTTGGAGTCTGGCGGAGTGATAGGCCAAAAGCTCGACTGATAGTCATCTGGGCAAAGTGGGCATGGATCCCGTCCCCTATCAATCAATCAGACGACCAGTCGATAAATGAATCGTCGTAAGCCCCATCAACCTGCCCATATCAAGGACCGCTATCACTGGCGAGCCATCCGACGTGGGGTTGTGGACCCATGGGATTCCAATCCCCAAATCTCCGTCGAACTGCATGCGCTCGACCAAAAAGGTGATGCGTTAGGTAACGTTATCAACTTGTCACAGCGGTTTATCTCCACGATGGTTGATCGCAACACGACTGGTGGATGTTTTGAGCGTAGTCTGATGAGGATCTGCCCTCTCCTTCCGGTTTTTGCTACGGAGCACGAGCCGATGCGGCATTATCAGCAAGATAGGCCAGCTTGGACGTTGTTGCACAGTTCATGAAGCCGAGACAGAGGTGATACAGCGGTAATTCATTCCCTGCGTATGGACGGTGTAACGGGGATGAGACGGCAGGCAGGTAGTTCCCAGGCGCGCCGTCAATCAATCCCCTTCACAGTTCACCGATCCAAGGCCGGTGCGTGTCGGATCATAAGGGCCAACAAGGAGTTGTGCTTCCGAAATGGGAGGGTTGGCGAAAACGGTGTCCTCAGGCCATCTTGGTAGGCTGGATGCGATGATAACCATAACGGTGCAGGGTAACGGTGCAGTCGTGCATCGAGCAGAGCAAATCCATCAGAAGAAAAGAGTATAAGCAGGGTGAGAGGCCACTTATGTACGAATTGCCAAGAGCTGCTGTCACCATCGTCGTTGGCAGGCTCGCAATCGCCGCCCGCAATCACCTCATCTCCTTGGGACATGTCGACCCAGGCAGGAGTTAGCCCTCCCCCAGTCGATAGCACCCACAATCAACCACAATTTCTGGAATGGAGACGAACTACGGAGTCCTATTAGCTCCGTTCTCCAAAGATAAGCTTAAATTGTCTTGATGGCGCGGCCGTTGCGTGCTGGCTGCGTTGAGTGGTCCGGTCTCAGTTGTGAGATGTCTCGGGTGATCCGCTGTCAAGCATCGCGGCAGTGAAATTCGGCTGTTGGAAGTCAGGCAGCAGCCAAACTCCGTGTGACAGCAAAAATAGCGGACACACTTGGTCCCTGTGAAACCCTGGCAGACCCTGAAAGTGGCCCTGAGAATGGCTATATTTGCACTTGTGACAAGCATTGCATGGCGCTTAGTTGAACGGAATCTACTCGATTGGACAGTAGGGATGCAGGTATTCCAGAAAGGGTATGAACAGTCGCGAACCGGTACAACATTGAAAACAACCGCATGCAATAATGATATATAAAGAAACACGCCCAGACTTATCAGCCTAATGAACCCCTAACTCCTCTTGACCATGTCCCGTGGTCATATATGCAATTGTATCACCACAGAGCGATACTTTATACTTCCCCCTTCTTGCTATATCCCCCATATTATCTCCCTCATTCCAGCTTATCCAAGTGTTCCAACCTCGTCAACACGACCTGCTTGCTTGTTTCTTCGATCTCTCCTGCAAGGAATACCTCGTCCAGAATAGCGTATACCTGTACAACCATCAGCTCATCCGTCTGCTACCTATTTTCCCGTCCCAAACAATTCCGGTGGCACCACTTCACCAGCCTCTAGCATCACTCACCTTGTAGAAATTGAACACCAAGTCCAGCTCACAAACGTTTCCAAAGAACTGATCCAACACCTCGACGAAGAAGTGGATCGCCTCGAGGTAGGCTAGTTCGTTGTCGGTTGCGTCGACGCAGGCGCAGAAGAACAACCCCGCATATCTCCGGTAGACAACCTTGGTACTCCGCTTGAATTCGACGAAATTGGACTGGTATTTCTGATCTCGCGGGGCGACCAGGCGATGTACCTATCCAGCATACATTATTATGTCGTTCCGCGGCGGGGTGCCGTAGTAGTAGATAGTAGTGGTCGGGGGCATATAACGAACCTCGCCCTTTAGCTTGACTTTTTCTTCATCCTATCATAAAGCAAGAATATTAGCCGTCATGCAATTCCATCCAAGTAGAGGTGCACTTACGCTATACGGCGCATACCATTTCGCGAGCCGCGTCTTCCCCCTGTTCCTGCGTTAGGGGGTGTATTTCATGCATGGAGATGGGGCATTCCGGGGGAACGCGGGGTATGACTTACTGGCGATTCTGCACAAGAATGAATGAGAGAACCATCCCGTATGTAGTAATTGCAAGGGAGGAGGGAGATGAGGGGGTAGATAAGCAAGCCTGTAAGTGCAATGGAGTCGTCACTTGTTCTCCGCGGTGTCTCCGGCGGACAATGCGAGTCTCGACTCCATACTGCCAGTGCTGACCGCTTTGACCGTTGGGTCACCGATTGACTTTAAGCTTTCCAGATCGAATCTGCAGATGCCAGCATAATGAGATTGATTCATTATTCCCACCGACTGCTCGATAGGACTGGAATCAATAATCTCTTCTACAACTTTTCTCTTTCTTCTAGTCCAGCCCAGCTTATATAATTAGTTCTCTCTAGATAGGTGGTAAACAAGGAACAAACACAGAATCCAACATTCAAATCCGGACTTCACGGAGAGACCCTGCATATATCATCTGCCTTTTTTTGCTCTTTTCGCCTTCTTCTCTTTCATTCTTTCCCCTGCATATTATCTATCCCATCCCGCGCTGTGCAACCAAGATTTCCCCCAGCCCGAATCCGCCATGCGCAACCCCTAAGACTCACACTGTCTTCTCTGTCTTTCTTTCTACATCCTTCCTCTCCACCTGTCTCCTCACCTCCCCGAGATCCCGATTTAATATGAACTACTCCTCCTCCCCACAATACTACCGATCACCTCATTCATAAAACAACTCCCTCCTCCCTTGCTTCACCCACTCTCCTCATTTCCCACCCCCCTCCCCACACCCCCCTTCCTCATCACAATCACCAACCCACGAACTACTGCAGACGGCAGATTAAAATAAAATGCCCGTTTACATGCTCTACGGCTTTCGCTGGCCGCGCGCCGGCTTTACCGGCATCCGCGTATACATCGTTCTCCACAACCTGGAAGACGCAACAGCCGAATACCTCCAACAGCCCCTAACCAGCGAACTGGTCTTGGAATCGCTCAAGAAGACTGAACCCGGCATTATCTCTCGTCTACCCAACCTCCGCTTCATCGAACAATACGACCCGGAAGACACAAGCGACGACGCAGTCAGCAAGCCGTATGCCTACGTCGGTGGGAAAGTCATCTCCATCCCCGAGGATGTCGGCCCTACTCCCGAGACGAGCTGGAAACCAGAGGACATATTCAAGGAGGAGCCGTTGGAGAAGGACGCCATGGAGGCCTTGACGGAGTTTAGGGATAAGTATGCGGCTGGGGAGCGTATTGGCTGGTGGATTGTGTACAATGGCGATCCGGAGAGGTGGTTCCCTCATGACGAGGAGGAGGATGGGGATAGTTTTGATGATGGGTATGATGAAGAGGGGAGCTATGCTGATGGTGGAGAGTATGAGAGTGATCAGACGCAGACACCGCCGGAGACGCCTTCTTCTGCTACGGTGGGTTTATTCTTTCGGTTGATCTTCTGATGAGGTTTGACTTGGCTAATAGTTCATTGTATAGATGCGATTCCCCGAACGGTTGACTCGATTGTTTGCTAGGCGAACGGCTTGATGGTCATGGCTATGGCTATATCGCAATCCTCTCTACGGCTTATGATCTGCGCGTCGCTAGTTGCTAGCATTTTGTTTTCCACCAGAAAGCGGGTTTGGGTGTTTTGGGTTTGTGCATGTGATTTCATTAGCAACGTTCATTTTTGGCGTGATGAATATCTATCTATTTTGGTTTCGTTCCTCATCAGCGACGGTCTTTACATGGTACCGTATCCGCCCTTCTGCCAGCTAGCGTCGAAGGTGGCCTGATCGACAGCAAATTCCCGGATGTAGTCCTTCTCCAGGTCGTGCGCTCTCTTTCCAATCAGGACCAAGCTGTGTAGAGGCCGGCCCATCTCGACCTCGGCCAGTTCCTTCAGGGTACCAGCGACCAGCTTCTGATCCGCGGCACCCACACGCGCGGCACCGACAGCAAGACTGTCCGGTCCCCAGACGCCTTCCTGGCGCTCCTCCTCAGTCTCCAGCATCTGACTGGCACACTGCGCAACGGTCATGAAGCGAGGGGGCTCGTAGACCAAGCGGCCCCGAGCCATGTTCTCAAGCGACGGCTCCTTAACCTTGATATCCAGAAGAACCAACGTGTGCAGACCCAGCTGAACGTTCTCCTTGACCCGATCGTAATAGGATGAGGGCTTCCAGTTCTCAGTGAAGAAGACCATGCTGACGGTCTGGCCGAAGTTGTACAGCTGCAGACCCGTGCAGCCGATACCGGACATGATGGATGCGTTGGGGATGACCTTGGACTCGATGCCCAGTTCGCGAGCGCGGAGGACCAGATCTGTGTGTGTAGTGGCGCTGATGGATTGTCAGAAGCGAAGCCCATATAGCGCCAGATGACAGTGAACGCTGGTACATACCCAAATGGATCTCCAACGACGAGGAAAGCAACATCGACCTTGTCTGCGTCGGCGAGAATCTCATCGCTCCCACTCTCGACCTTTTCGCGGTCGGCCTCGATAACAGGACGTCCATAGAAAGCTTCCTACTAAACCAATCATTCCAGTTAGTCAAATCCGTACGTAGGGAGACAAATCGCGTAGTAATCCGTCAGGCGACACTCACTAGTTTCTCCTTGTCGACGAGCAGAATAGCCGTGTATGCCTCCAGATAGACACGCTCGGCCTTCTTGACGATTTCCAGACCGCGGACCGTGATATCGGTCTCGTCAGCCAGACCAAGTCCTACCAGGTAAAGCATTGTGATGTGCGAATGAGAATATCACCAACAATTGTAATTGTGAGCGTTCGTGAATATTCACACCAGCCGGGAAACTTTCGACATTCCCCCACCAAATGCGGCGGAGGGCAGCCGGAAATCGGATCATGTGATGATCCGGATATGCACTGTAAAGTCACCTGGGGGTGCGATTCACGTGCGCCAACCAGCATCCAGGCACTGTTCCTTCTTCTCATACTTCAACTGGATCGAATGGATGCCACATCGTCAATATCCGTCCCATCTTCATCCTGATCAGACAGAGATCCGGACTGCCCTTGTCAACGACTTTGCAGTGGAGCATGCTCGATCAGTGTTCCTCTCACCTGCATCATGTCGACTGATCGTACCCCCAAGTATCGGCAGGAGATCCAGCAGGTAAGCACTGTTCTGATTTTGTATCTGGTCTGTTTCTGTGAGCATCTGTGCTTCGTGTCTACTGGAAGGGACTGTGTTAGTTCTGTGTTGTTTGCGATGTCATGCTGTGGCCTACATGCTATCCCCATCATTGCTCTCTGATAAGCGATGCTCCGCTTTATGGATGTGAGTTATGGGGCATCGTCGAGGCAGCACTCATGCATGGAATGGTGAATTCTAGCACGCGATGGTGTTTGCTCTTTTGCAAAATGGGATTATCAGGATCCTCTGTTGGATGTGTTATTCTACTTCCTGCCAACTCGCATGACTGGGGTCTACCTGGATATCGCGTGTCTGCTTGTCGCTGGAGGCGGATATCTCCAACCATGTCTGCGGATCCATACGATTCGGATGCTACTATCTCATGGCATGGATGGGAACATCTGGAAGACGGTCAGATGACGACTGCACCACCGGTGCCAGTAGTCCCAGCAGTCCCAGCAATCCAGCAGCAGACACACGATGAACCGTTGGACATGTACATGGGAATGGATACGGAGACCAAAGAGATTTTCAAAGAAATGCTAATTGATTTCGCTCGCAAGATGATGTTCGTCTCTGGTGAAACTGCCGAACCGTCCGTTGAAACCACGACTCTCATTGAGGATATTGTACGCCAGCAGGTTGTCGAAATTGTATGTTCTCTTCTCTTCTCTTGCGAACTACGCTAACTTCTGCAGCTCGCGCGAAGCACTGCCCTAGCGACTCGTCGCGGCGTGCGATCGATCTCTACTGATGACTTGATCTTTCTCATTCGCCATGACAAGGCCAAGGTGTCGCGTCTCAAGACGTTCCTGTCCTGGAAGGATGTCCGCAAGAACGTCAAAGACTCCGATGACAAAGGCGGCGCCGATGCTGCAGACTTTGCTGGAGCTGATGACCCTATTGCCGGCGGAGTCGTCGCAGGACCGCAGGATGTTGCGTCGAAGCCGAAGAATAAGCGTGCTCGTGTGGGTCTCGCCTGGGACGTAAATAGCTTTTACTCCGTGCAGGTTCCTGAACGTGAGGACGAAGAAGACGAGGAAGAGGAGGAACAGAACTACGCTACGCTACAGCGCCTTGCCGCCGCCGACGAACGTACCAAGAACATGACCAAGGAAGAGTACGTCTTCTGGTCAGAATGTCGCCAGGCGTCGTTCACCTACCGCAAGAGCAAACGGTTCCGCGAGTGGGCCGGATTCGGTATCGTGACTGAGTCCAAGCCAAACGACGATATTGTTGATATTCTCGGATTCTTGACATTCGAAATCGTGCAGACCCTGACTGAGGAGGCACTCAAGGTCAAGGAGCGGGAGGATCGCGAGAAGAACCGTCGTGGAGGCGGAGAAAACGGCGAGAGCAGTAAGAAACGTACGCGCGAGACTGGATTATTTGATCCCCCTGAGGAGGGTCGTACCCCGGTTGAGACCAGACATATTCGCGAAGCGTATCGCAAGCTGCAGGCGACTCCTAATAAGAATATTGCCATGTTGCTGCATAATGGACGCCTGCCAGCTAAGATGCCATTGCGATTGGTAGGTTCTTACCTCATCTTTGAATTGGTGGTTAGGTGCTAACTATGACAGATTTGAGGGATTATTGGCGTTAGCGATGGCGTGTGCCTCATTCTCAAGATACCCTTGGCGTTACGATAGCATGGTTTCTTGATTTTTGTTGCTCTTGATTGAACTTATTTGATTCAATTTGATTCAATATGATTATCAGACCGATGGGCTTGTCGTTGTCTTTCGAATGGTCTTGATAATCTTGATCCATTGTATCTTGGATAATGGAATCTGATGGATTGCTTGTTCTTTTTTTCTGTTTTGTTTCTCATCCATCTAGTCATACTTGACTGAACATCTTGTATCACTAGCTATTTTCCCTTCATGTCTCGTTCGACCGGTCTTGATTGAACTTGTCAGATACAGCCTGGCGCTATTTTCATACTCGTTCTCTTGTTGACTGGTCCTACTTGACCAAAGTTATCTACTTTGCAGCTTGAAGCTAGCACATAATTGATTGATTATCTTACAGTCCGACACCGAACTAACATAATACTGCTCATATCTCATAGCCCATACCAGCACTCACCCAACAACACCCACAGAATTACTCAGGATGCGTCCGTCTCCCTATAACCCAATCAGTCAGCAACTACCCCCAACCCAACTCCCAAAGGAAAGAACAAAAACTTACACTCATCAAACTCCCCCCTCCCGATCTCCCTAATACTATTAACAGCGGGCACATCCCCCCTAGCAACACTCTTCACCGTCTCCACCGCACGGCCAATAACCCCCTTCCTGGAGACCGCATACACCGCCGTCTTCGCCTCCAGCTTAATCACCCCGATCCGGGGATCCTCGGGTCCACCATCATGCACGCCATCCCCCAAATCGCCCAACCACGCCTGCAGCGCCGGCGAGTAATACTTCTTGACGGTCTCCTTATCAGCCACGATACTCGCCGTTCCGGAAATAGATGCCCACGACCCGCTGATTGGGTCTAAGAAAGACATGTTGGTTTCAGTGGGGTGGGCAGTCAAATCCATAGTCTTGTGGCTGAAGAGGTTCGTGTGGAAGATTAGGGTGGTGTCGCCTCTTTCCTATTACATCGTTCATGTGTATTAGTTTGGGGGAAGACATTCATTCATAAATGTGGTTCGGTATGTATGAGGTATGGGAGAGACGGGGGGAAATGCTATGCTACCTTCCCAGCAAGAGCCATACACCGACTCGTGAGCAAATCATCGTCCGAGGACTTTGTCGTGAGCATGCCGAATTTCTGTTCTGTGATGAAGGTCGACAGGTCGGTGATTTTTTGGGCGAGGGGGAGGTCGTCGTCTAGGGATTTGGCTTTGTAGGGGTCGAGGGGCTGGGTGCCGCTCGTGGTGGGGATTGTGGAGGACATTTTGGTTGATTTTCTTTGCTTGGTTTGGTTTGGTTTGGATGGATTTGATAGAATAGTCAATTGTAAAGATGAATTGTTGGAGGAAGAGGGACTGTATGGGAGCTGGGGGTTGTTTATATGATATAGTAGGGTTGGATTGGATGGCGTAGAAGTGACGTCAGGGTGGTAATTGGTCAATCTGCTTTAGTCAAGACTATATTTAGCCAGAATGATGAATGGAGTGTGGGAATGGTGTCATTGTCAGATTGATGTCAGTGGTGACGATCGGGAGTACCTTGTAGCATTGTGGTTCCTGGGTTAATTCTTTGAGTGGTGGTGGTGGTTGGGTTTGGGGAGTCCCGTCATTCCCGAGTATATACGAAAGTACTTAGTGTTGGGACCATTGGATGACTGCGGGATAACCCTCTGGATCAGGACTGGATTTAAGAGTGGTAGAGACATATTTACTTTCTAGAAAAATCCATGGTTTTGGTTGTTCTACTGGTACTATTGGGTAACTACTAGACAAAGCGGAATCTATATATCTTAGTGTGGTGTCTGGGTCCAAGTAGTTTAGTCCACATCTAGAATAGTAGTAACCCATTATTTACAGCCACGTTGTTGATCATTCAGTTGGAGTTGAGTCAAGTCAAGTCACTTAATATGTCATTACTCATTAGATCAGTCTATAGGCTCACACATAACTATACCACAGCGTCATCTGCAACTCCTCCAACCGTCGCAACCCTCCCGATACCCGCCCCAGCGCATCCGTCAGGAACGCACTTCGCGTCGACCCCGGCTCGGGAGCCGACCACGTCGTCCACCCCCGCGACATAGCTCGCTGGAACGTAGTCTCCGCATGAGTGTCCGGCCCTAGAGGCGCCAGCTCCACCACGGCCTCCGGCCCCAGGGTCAACAGATAATTGATCCATTCATGCAGCACGATCATGCCCTGATTCCGCTCTAGAGAGACGCCAGCGCTCTGAAACACGCCGAAACGGCGGGCGCGCTCGGTTTCACCGCGCAGGAATCCCAGCATGTACTTCATACACGTCCATACCTCGTCCATGTCTTGCATGTCGCTCACCGTGAGGCCTCCGGGATTGCCCTCTCCGAAGCCCGGAGGAGGGTCAAACAGAATGCTGGCTACGTCCTTGGGGTCTGGACAGGGCTGGAACGGGGATCCGGTTTCCCCGCGGAGCCAGCTGACTTGTCCGTCCATGTCTGTTTCTCTACCTGTCTGCATTCCGAAGAGGAAGCAGAAGGTCCAAACACGCCAGATGGCGTTGTCTAGCCGGCGGGCGCCTGCACTGGACGGACGGGCAAGGGCAGCGTATGAGCTGGTGCGCATGACTCCTCTGCAATGGGTCATCATCAAGCCCTTAAGGGTGGCGAGGGCGCGGAGATCGCGGGTTACGGAACGGTAGTAGACCGTTGCAGAGGGCACATCCTGCGGATCTGTATTTTCATGGATATCACTCATCTGACGGAGTTCCCAGGCTGCAGGGGATCTGCGTCTAATGGTGTTCTCCATCAACGGGAGTTCGTGGCGTTTGAAAACGTGGTAGGTGGCTTTGCTGGTCTGAGCAAAGGAGAAGAGGTCATCCAGGTCGTCGATCTGGAGAAGGATATTCAAGATCATGTCTTCCATGCCGGACTTGGAGAGGCTCCATCGGTTGGATGTCATGCGCTGCAGGTCGTCATCCAAGGCGGCCATGACTGCCGCGAATGGTGGAACGGAACTGCGTGGCTCTGATCTTTCATCAAGCGCAGGACCTGTAAAGAAGCGCACGGAGGGTGCACCTTCAGTGAATGCTTCGTCCTCGTCGTAGCCAACGTATTCCCAGCTGCTTTCATTGTCATCACCTAACGTAGGCCGTCGAATTGGCTTGTCAAACAGCTGGCTCACAGGCTGATCAACCGGCTTGTCAACTGCCTCAGGCTGATGGAAATCCTGGGGAGGGAGTTCGCATGTATGGTCTGGGGGTAAGGAGGAGTGTGAAGTCGGTGGGGGTGAGTTAGAAGGTGCAGTGTCAACACCAAGAAGTGGTTCGTTCTGCACCCTCGTAAAAAGCGATCGGAGAAATTGCTGATTAGATTCTGCTTGCAAAATCATGTCCATAGTGTACCCATCCTCGAGCAAACTCGCTAGGACATTCTTCATTCGCTTTATGGCGTCTTCATAGTGACCGTCATCTTCCTGGCCGTCAAGAAAACCCTGGCCATTATCGTCCTCCGGCGGGCGCTGAACAGGTGGTATCGTCGACATGCGAACAATGATTGATGCTCTGCGCACATTCTGGTACTTGTTCTTTTTCGTTTTGCTGTGCTTGAGCGCTCCACCATCGTGGGAAACGGCTTTACGGGTTAGGACACGCCGTACCCCTGCCTTTAATGACTGCCACAGAGGTCTGTCGTCACCATCTGGCTTTAGCTCCTGTTTTGATGTCTTCTTCACTGGCTGCTTTTGCTGGACATGCAAGTCTGTCGGGCTCGAGCGTTTTGGATTATGGCCGTAGCCATGGTTGCTCGTGGCAGGCGGCAATTGTTCAGTTTTGATACCGAATGTTTGCGGCCACTCAGGGGCATCCCTAGACCCTTTTCCGGCTGGTAAAGAGCCGGTAAGCACTGGCACATGCTCATACCTAAGGTTCGTGGCCGTTCCCGTGTCTGGGATTGCCACTGTAGGTCGCGGGGTAGTGGGACGGGGAGTTGTAGATCGGGGTGTGGAAGGCTGAGGAATGGTAGGTAGAGGAGTCACAGGCCTGGGGGTGGTCGGCCGAGGGGTTGCTGGTCGGTAAGACATAGATGGGGGTGTCATCGGCCGCGATGCTGCAGCGAAAGGTGCTGCTGGAGGAAGAGGTGTTGTAGGTCTGGATGTTGAAGACACCGGCGTAAGAGGACGTGGCGTTGTAGGCCGAGGTACTGCACCAAAGGGCGCTGCGTGAGGCTGAGGTGTAGTTGGTCTAGATGTCGAAGATACAGGAGTTATAGGGCGGGGTGTCGTAGGCCGAAGTGCTAGAGGCTGAGGCGTATAGCTCGTAGGGGACTCTCTGAGAGAGCTCTGCCCGCCACTTGATCTACCAGATCCTCTCGAATGCGCGCTGCCACTTACTCCAGGGACCGGGGGTAGAGGCTTGAACCTCCACTCGGACGCTGATGGTGAGCGCGTCGCAGAACTCGCGCTAGATGTGTATGAATAGCATGGGCTGGGCGGGCCGTATTCATCTGCCCTTGTCTTGGGTATGTGTAGATGTGGCACAGCCAATCTATCTGCCGAGTCCCAAGTCGTTTCCAGTCCCGCGAGGAGTAGTTTGTCGTCAACATCTGGGGGCGGCATTTTCAATTGGTTGTGTTGGGCGCGACCCGCGCTATCTTCGGTGTGGTCCTCGAGAATATCGTTTGGGAGAAAATAGAGAGTAGACCTGGAGGAGGCGAGGCTGTCCACTGACTTTATGCCTTGCGGGTTACTGAACGGGGCGCGTGGAGGGGCTATTGGAGATCTGCAGCGAATGGGTGCATAAGGACCCGAGGTATAGTCGGACATGGTATGCAGGGCGATCATGAAGAATCACCGCTATAGGTCCAGAAAGGTCCAGAAAAAAGGTCTATAATAGTTTGGGAGGGACGGACAAGGGTGATATACGTCGCAGCCTGCGGATGACATACCCCTGGGACCCGATTTCGACTGATACGCAAGCCCACCCTGGGCTTGAATCCTGAAAGCCATGGGCTTGGGTCCATAATGTTTTGAATTTAGTCACAGGGCCCACGCGGACCTGCGGTATCAGCAAGCCCAGAAGCTAGAACCTGGCCATGAAAAGGGTGCCTGCGAGAGCATAGCCCAACCAATGACCAGGCGACTGGGGCACAGGCAAGCACAAGTGCTCTGCTGACGGAGGATCAGCTAGCAGGGTCGTGGCAGTGTTTGGAGCAAGTTGACTGAGAAAGGCAACACAACAACACGGTCGCTAGAGCACTTGTGCTCTTGGAGAAACTAGTTCGCGATGGCGTTGGGGCCAAATCGCGTCAGAATCTGCGAGGAACCCGGATTGCGACGAGCGCGACACTGAGTAATAGTTAGTGACTGTTCAGCTCAGCAGCAGGTTTGAGAACCAGACTCACTCTGGGCAGAAACATTCGCATAACGAAAAATGATGGTGGATGTGGGATGTGGTGGGAAAATGTTCTCAGAGGCAACGGAAGAGAAGAGAGAGTGGAGGAGGGGCCAAAAGAGAAGGCGGATGAGATTCTCTCGCAAAGCCTCCCTTCCACCTTCAACTTCCGCCCCCAGAGACGATCCAACTTCATTTCCGTCTCAGCCGATCTAGAAGCGATTATCCTACGACATAGCCATGTGGCAGAGTCCACCCGGCCAGGCACATCAGGGAGCAGATCGTTCCGTGTCCCAGCTGACATCAGATGTTGTTCTTTCAGGGGAACCGTTTCGTTTTTGGGGCGAAAACCGCCCACCAGAATCTGTTGCAAGGAGGAAGTTGGTCTTGAAAGGAGGGAGCTGTGATGTTAAGGTACCTACTCATCAGGCTGACTTTAGTTGCGTTAAGTGTTACTGACATGGAAAGCTTGAGGACGGAGTTCAACCATTGATCGCCTAATTCTCGGCCACAACATATTCTGAACACGAAAAGAACCTACACATTGCCTGAGGAGATCTCAGTCCAGCACATCCGGATCTCCTATTTGTGTCAGCTCAACAAGGCTCTCAAAGGAATCGGAAGTGGATACGAGCCACATGGGTGACATACCATTCCCCGGATCCGGTGTCTTCTCCTTTCTCGAACCTGATCAGCACATTAAGGCCTGCCAGTCGATTATGAGGGAAACGGCCCCTTTGTTTGATCACCGGGTTGAATGTGCCTTGCACTATCGTGTAACAGGAAGGTAGCTTGTCGCGTCTTAAGGCACAATGGTATATCCGACCAGTGATAGAAACACGCTCAGATGAGCTTAATGGCAGCAGGAGATAGATGCTTGGTCTCAGTGATAGGTACTAGACCTAACTATGAATGGCTTTATGCATGACTAGAACAGTTCTCACGTCGTCAGCGAGGCTGCATTAGAGCATTACTTGCAACTGGACCAAGACGCTGCCTGAAACGAACGCTCTCTCACGTTGGTTTACCATCCAATTGAAATATCCACAGTCAATCATGCTACTTGTCGCTGGGTGTCTTGTACTTGGGTCTCAAAATCTCCCTTTTTTTAATACCAAATATGAGGGAGAAAAAACCCCTAGCCTGATACACAGTGGCAAAGATTTCATATATCACGCTTTTCTAGATAGCAAATATAATCTGTTAAAACCTGCCTAACCTCATACACGGGCTTACTCTGCGCCGAGCCAACAATTTGGAGATGGATTCTCATGATTGGATTCTTCGTAAGGGTTGTAAGCTTCCCCTGAAACGGATTACATGCATGAGTAGTGCGTTTGAGCTTTGCATAACTTCCTACACAAAACCGTCTTCTCCACTAAGTTAACATAATACAACACTGTTTCCTATTTCTATTATGGAAAAATATTTGGACGACAAACTTTCTGATACAAAAAAAAGCGGCCTGATAAGAGGCATGTCCCTGAGTGGACTATCGCACCGCGTTCGACTTATCCCAACCGATACTCATGACATGCAACCCCAGTCGGACCAGTCACACTATAGATACCAGACTAAACGTCCAACCTCAGATCTCAGTACCAAACCCCAGCCGCAAAACAACCGCACCAACAGTCACCACTACAGAAAGATTAGACTTGGTCATTCCCAGACCCTGAACAACATCCAACACCCCAGTCCAGTCATATGCCACCAGCATCCGTATGATAGGATACCACCACCAGGGAAATGTTGCAGCCAACCAGCAAAACACCCACATGAATCCAACACATCGCTGCCAGAAAGGTGTTTCAGCAGCAGTGTTTTTCTCTCCTCGTGACAAGATAGCCCATAAGTGTTGGACCGCGTCCTCAAACATGATGGCACCGGCTTGTGCGATGAAAAACAACATTGCGCCGGTGTTTCCCCCTTCGATTCCACTGGCGACGTTTGTGAATACATGCATTAACCCGGAGAGAATGAAAACTATGGTCAGGTTGAGATATCGCTCTGTTAGGGAGGGCTTGGGAAGGCCGAGGATACGGCAGGTGATTGCTGTTGAAACACCGGTGTATGACCAGCGGAGGTTTTGATGCCAAAATTTGCTGGGTATTGTTATATGTCAGCAGGAGCTATCTCGCTTCAAGAAGCAACAATGAGATGAAGTGGAATGAAGGGCAGAAAATGTGAACTAACCCCCAGAATCCACGAACAGTAGACGTGTCGGCCAGGCTCCCAAACTCCGGGGGCCACGAAGCAATTGTTGTCATTCTGGCCGCTACTGAGATTAGAGATGCCATCCGGTACATAGCGTCCAGGAAAAGCATCGATCCGGGGAACCCAAAGAGAAAGGTGACTGTGACTCGTCCGAGAAGCTGCTTCATGCTAGAATCTGCCAACTGGAATTCGCGCCCTGATCCGTATATGTATGACCCATCGTCATCCTGCACATCATGAGTTGCTAATGACGTGAGCACGAGAATCAAGGCCAGAACTTCCCATATTGCAATCGCTAGCTGCCTTCTTATGAACTGGCCTCGGCTGGGTGGTTTTGCTCGAAGCACAAGCGGGTGACTCGGAATATTCTTGACTTGCCAGGGTGTGCCGATACCACGGGTAGACTGGAGTAAGGCAAAAGCAGACGCAAGTTTCCCTGCATTCGTACCCGGCTGCCCTGCTAGATCAACTTTGGCAATCAGAAGCAGGTTTATATGTTGGATGAGTACAGTGAATGGCATGCCACTAAGAGTGACTTTGGCATAGGTATGATGATCGGTCATCTTGATCAGAACGCCTTCGATATAGGCCATGTAAGTAATTGAAGGGACGCATATCCAACGTAGGAAGGAGTTCCGAGGCGTTCTAGCGATGAGGGCGACCGTAATGAGGCTTTGAAGTGTAGTTACAATGGTGCAAAGGAGGTCCAGTGAGGTTGCCATCTCGCTTGGTGGTTTGAAGCATCGGCAGCTGAGACGAATATGTCGAAGGTCTTGAGACTGCTGCTGACCAGACAGTCGTTGACCCTCGAGGCAGTGCCATCAGGGGCGCGGAAGGGCCGGGTTTTAACGGCTCAGGTGGATGCCCATGTAACAGCTGCAGGCCTCGCACCACTTTCTCGTGCGACAACAGGCGAGCATCCTTGATGAACAGAAGGTATTGAAGGGGGTCATCTTTATTTAAACCAATATCTCGAGGCAAAGCCTGGATTCGTCATTCGGGGATGTGAGCCGTAGAGGGTGTTTGCCAAGTGCAAGATCTCACGAAACAGCCTCAAGGCAATGTATTGCGGCTATGAGAGCAATGTGAGCCATTTCCATTGCCATCAATCAGGTGTAACCTGGTGTGGTAGTTGGCGATCATGTTTTCCCGCAAGGTTCCGCAACATCGACTATGTGGGTGACTTCCCCTGCAAGATAGACACCTAGCTGAAGTGTTTCAAGCAACTAGTTGAAGTTCTGAACCATTCCGTAACTGCATATATCACTCGCCAATGTCAGTATGCTTGTATTGTGTGTGGATCAACCTGGTAATGGTTGCCTTTGTTGGTAGCCCTGATTTCCTGCACTTTATTCCTGGAGCCGTACCTGTATACAAACCGAAAAAAGAAGAGGAATTTGGGGAATCTCAAGAACTTAAAAGAGGAATATAAGGAACCCAACATGTTTGCACAAGATATTCATAGCCAGCTGTCGTGTATTCACCTGTGGCTGGAAAGGAGACCGGCACTTTGCAAGTCATCTTCCATTCGGCGAGGCTTCTTGGTTTGCCGAGAGAGAACGCCGAAGTTGGAGTATAGTACGCTCAGGTCAAGTGCCATCGTCGGTTTGCGGGGAAATGTAACAAGACTGTTAGACGGAGGCTTGGTGAGTAAAATAGTAGTATATCCTAAGCCGAATCTTCAATCGGCGATTTGGTGACTTTTCAAACGCCGGTCCAATGACATACCAGTTCCCCAGAGAGTCCTTCTCGGACCCCTCTCGCTGATCATTCTTCTCCCGCGCATCTACCTTCTTCACGCTTTCTATCCCCCAGCAAGTCTTCCTCAAATGAGGTCTTAGACCATCTGTCAAACGAAAGAAATTGCCTATTTATTGTTCATTATCAAAGCTGCCTGCTGTCACGATTACACCAACTTCAAGACTGCATGATAGGACGCACGATAGGCACGCCAACAGAAATGGAGAGAATAATCTCACAGGTTATTGATCAGGCCAGCGCAGGTCTTCGTGAACTGAGCGTTAAGGCAAGGAAAAGTCCATCTTCCATCTCAGCATTCAACATCTAACAAGTGTCCAGATTCACGACAACCCAGAGCTGTGCTTCAAAGAACACAAAGCCCACAACGCAATCTGCGACTACCTAGAGGCCGCAGGTGTAGCAGTAATCCGTCAAGCATACGGCCAGGAGACCTCCTTCGTTGCCGAATACGGTGACAAAGACGGAGAAACAGTCGACTTTTGCGCAGAGTACGACGCTCTCCCAGAGATAGGTCACGGATGCGGCCATAACCTCATCGCCGTCTCTTCCATCGCCTCATTCCTGGGTGTCGTTGACGTGATGAAGCGAATCAAGGTCCCGGGGAAAGTGCGCTTATTAGGAACCCCCGCTGAAGAGGGCGGCGGCGGTAAGATCAAACTGATCGAAGCGGGCGCTCTGAAGAACACAACTGCCTCGTTAATGAGCCACCCAACACCCCAATTCCCTCATATGCCTGCGGGCTCTGCGGGCGTCGCATTTGGATCCTGCTTAGCGGCAACGGGGTTCCTAGCAGATTTCAAAGGGAAACCTGCGCACGCGGCTCAGATGCCCTGGGCGGGTGTTAATGCTCTTGATGCGGCATCATTGGCATACCAGGCTGTTGGTTTGCTTAGACAGCATATCAGGCCCACTGATAGGATCAATATCATTATCCCGGAGGGGGGTACTGCTCACAACGTCATTCCAGATAAGGCGCAGATTCGAGTGAATGTCCGATCTGAGACGTTGAAGGAGATGAATGCTTTGCGGGAGCGCGTTGAGAATTGCATGAAAGGAGCGGCGCTAGCTACGGGCTGTGAAGTCGATATTGTTTCTGCGTATGATCTTATTCCTTTCTATTTTATTGAAAGATAGTGAGACTAACACCTGAACAGAATGGACCCATACGCGGACATTCGACCCAACGAGGGCCTATGTAAAGAATTTACCCGGTACATGGGTTCCAAGGGAATGAAATACTACTGCGATCTGCAAAAGAAGGATATCGGTGCGTTCAGCACAGATATGGGTATGCACACAGTCAACTCTTTCATAACATCACCATCTCTTCTTTGCTGACCAGAAACAACTATAGGTAATATAAGTTACGAAGTCCCCTCCTTCCACGGCCACTACTTCATCCCCACACCCCCCGGAACAGCAATGCACACCGAGGCCTTCCGCGATTCAGCAAAGACAGAAGAAGCCCACAACATAACCATGTCAGTAGGAAAGGGCATGGCTGTAGCCGGACTCAAGGTCCTGACCGACGAGAGTTTCGCGGCCCAAGTGAAGGATTACTTCGAGAAGGATAAGAAGTTGCGATAGAACTCTGCTACTATTCATGCGACGGATCTATTGTCATGCAATGATGGTTGATACTTAATAACTATATTAAGTAGTAAATAGACGCGTAGATCGCAATACTACCAGATAGTAGAGTCCTCACAAATATATGAACTTGGAGGTTGAATGAAATGTAAATCGATGCATTCTACCAGAACCGATAAGATAATGAATGTATAGTTCCCGAACACCTAATTTCGGCACCAGCAAGTAATCAATCAACCTATGGAGTATTGAAGAATGAAATTAGCTGTCTTTTTGAATGACTGATCATCATCAACATCGGTGACATAACCAATCATTCGGTCCTTGTGTATTCGCTGATGAATGTCCTCGCTTCGGGCCATCTTCGACCCGAGGGGGTCTCTCTTCTCGGCGTAGTAATTCTCCCGAGACTAGACCCAGGCTACTCAAACTCGCCGGTGGTTGTCCCGGGAATTTGGGCGTGTAACAATGGGTACGATATGCAATGGCCTGATGGAGGTCGATTGCAAATGAACCAGTGGGAGGGGTGGTGGTTTGTTCTAGTTCACCACAGGGGAGTGATTATAGCCAGTACCAAGATTATGTGGGGGTTGAAGCTTGAGACAGACTATATGTACAAAGGTCTACAGTTACTGCAATGTAAGAACAATTTGTAATCATCGTAAATTCGTATCCTGATTGTTTTGCATGAACCAGTCATGGCTATCTGCGAAGAAGGTAACCCAATATCCACGAGCTCGTCGCTGAAGCGAACTCTCCCCATTTTCTCATGGTTTCAATTATTAAATTAGAAGAGAGCGTCGCCCAGACGGTAGTGCACGGCCTTGATCTGGGTGTAGTTCTCGAGGGCGTACGAGCCGAGCTCGCGGCCGATACCGGACTCCTTGAATCCTCCGAAGGGAACCTGGTATTGGATCAAGTTGTAGCTGTTGACCCAGACGGTTCTATGTGCATGTTAGTGAATGAATACAGGAATGTAGTGTTAAGTATAGCTTACCCAGCACGGAGGGCGTTGGAGACACGGATGGCGGTGGTGACATCCTTGGTGTGGATACCGGCAGCGAGACCTAGGACGAAAGATTAGCACTTGACACACTGCAATTTAGTGGCGAAAAAGAACTCACCATAAGAAGTGCTGTTGCCGATCTTGATAGCGTCCTCGACGTCCTTGAACTTCTGGACAGTGACGACGGGGCCGAAGATCTCCTCCTGGTTGATCTTCATGTCGGAGGTGACGTCGGTGAAGACGGTAGGCTGGATGAAGTAACCCTCGGTGCCGTGACGCTCACCACCAACAGCCACGGTAGCACCGGCGTCCTTACCGTGCTGGATGTATTCCATGATGCGGTCGAACTGGAGCTGCGAAACCTGGGGACCTTGGAAGGTGTCCTTGGCGAAGGGGTCACCGACCTTGTTCTGGAGAGCACGCTCCTTGAGACGGGCAATGAACTTGTCGTAGATGCCTTCCTGAACCAGGATACGAGAACCAGCACAGCAGCACTGACCGTGGTTGTAGAAGATACCGAAGTTGGCCCAGGAGATGGCGTTGTCAATGTCGGCATCGTTGAAGACAATGTTGGGGGACTTGCCACCCAGCTCGAGGGTCACCTTCTTGAGGTTGCTCTTGGCGGCGGCCTGGAGGATAGTACGGCCAACAAGGGTGGAGCCAGTGAAGGCGACCTTGTCGATGTCCATGTGGTGAGAGATGGCGGAACCGGCCACACGACCGAAACCGGAGATGACGTTAACCACACCGGCGGGGATGCCAGCCTCCTTGATCAGCTTCGCGGCATAGAGACCGGACAGAGGAGTCTGCTCAGCAGTCTTAATAACAACAGTGTTACCGGTAGCGATGGCAGGACCAATCTTCCAGGCCCACATCAGCAAGGGGAAGTTCCAGGGAATGATCTGTCCGCAGACACCGATGGGTTCGTGGCGAGTGTAATTCAAGGTCTCGGAGTTGGTGTCGATGGTCTGACCATGGATCTTGTCGGCCCAGCCACCATAGTAGCGCAGGCAACCGGCGGCGCCAGCGATATCACCGTGGGCCATGGTGATAGACTTGCCATTGTCCAGAGCTTCGATGGAAGCCAGGATCTCGGCATCGCGCTCGAAAAGGTCGGCCAGCTTGGTCAGCATGCGGCCACGGGTGGAAGGAGTGACCTGGCGCCAGGAGCCCTCGAAGGCCTTGCGAGCAGCGGCAACGGCAGTATCCACATCCTTCTCCGTGGCTTCGTGAACGGCGACAATGGGCTTCTCGTTGCTGGGGTTGATAGTCTCGAAGGTCTTGCCTTCGGCGCCCTTGACGAATTCGCCGTCAATGAACCTGTAAAGTAAACAGTGGTTAGTTTCCAAAAGCGCGATATCGAGAGGACGGGACGCCGGGGATAACATACAAGCCCAGAGGCTGTTCGTATTTGACGCCGTTGGGGGTCGTGATGGTGGTGAAGAGGTCAGACATGATGAGATATGGGAGAGGAGGTGTTGGTTAGAAGAGAAAAAAAAAAAGAGAGAGAGGGAAGAGAAGAAGAAAGAAGAGCGGAGGGAGGGGAGAGCTATCAATTAATAAAGCAGACAGGAAGTTTAGTTGCTTTGTACTAGTGGTGGGGTGGAAGTGGGGGGGAAGAGAGAGAAAGAGGAAAGAGAAGTTGGTTTGACGGTTGATGGTTGATGGTTGAAGGGAGGGGAAGCTTGCGAGGCGCGAGGGGGAAACGCCAGCGGAGATCATCCTCGTCCACTGGGTTTAGTTTAGTTCAATTGGACTGGTCTAGTCGGATCCATGGGAGAAATTCCGGGTCTCATCCATTGCCATTTACCTCATTCTAATCCCTCCGCGGATAACCACCCCCTCTTCTAGATGCTCCGATTGGAGAGACCGAGCTCCTTGAGCCCGAAACCCACCGCGAGTTAACCTACGTACTCCCGAGACCCCTATAAGTAACCATCATATTATATTATATCGCGGTAAAGCGTAAGTGACCGGGGCATGAAGGGAACCTGAAAAGTAGGTGAATTCCCACATGCCAGCCCGTTCCCCACTCTATCCAACAATTCGGCAGCGATCGTGCGGGGTTTCGCTATCCGTGGCTCTTTTCCTGGCCACCACCACCACCACTACCCAGATTCCCCCTGTGTCAGCCATTTTGACTTTGTAACTATTCATCCCTTCGAAGAGTCCCTGTGGTACTGGTACTGGTAGTGGAAGGGGATGGTTATCGTGTCTTGGCTTGATATGGTTACTAGTTACATCTGGTTTCCTCTTACATCATACCGAAGAAGAATGGAGGACCTTCGCGCGGCCGGGAGAAGAAGAGGCTAGTAGCTAGGCAACCTATTAGTCGTGAGTTATCAATCATCTCCTTTGTAACTCACTAGGGAAGTATTACTCACAGCAATGGAGCAAGCTCTTTTCGTATTTCCGGAAACCCTCCACCTCGGTGTAAGTGGCGGGGACCAAGTGGAATCTAGTCTCTTGAGCTAGTTTGTTGACCTGCAAGCTGTAACATTTTAGTCAGCCAGTCACCTTGTTCCTTTCATGATGGGGATTACTACTTAGTAGATGCTAGTTCGCGCACTTTTCAAACATCCCTGTATAGTCCAATTAGCCACTGACTAGTGAGATCTCACTACTCAATCCTCAAACCATCATGAACAACAACACAAAGAGGGGAAATGCAACGAAGCTGAGGTCCCAAGGCATTAGTCTGATTAGTCTCCAAAGTGACCCATCCACTAGCGCCAAGTCACTAGCGGGTACCGTTGAGGTTTAGCCACAATGACACCTTCGCCTGCTGCTGCGACGGGCGGGAGTTTAGCCCGAGCTGGTAAGGATTCAAACCTGGGGGTGGTCGGCTGATACACTGGACCGTTTACTACTGGGCAGCCATCTAAGACCTCCTAGCCCCGTCTCGGGCTAGATGTTACACCTTCAACCACTCACCCCTCCCCTCCTCCCCTCCTCCCCTCTCTGCGTTAATGATCCCAAGGTACCCCAACTCATAATTCTGCAGTCTACAGTTGTTCCGCCCAGAAGCTGCTTCCCCACCACTTAGTTCTATCCAACTAACCCTATCCACTACTATGAAATGTCAATCTATACAGAACTCTCCGTCGTTTACTATGACCAGGTTTCTATCTGAAACGGCAGAGATCTCGGGGGATCCCGCTGCCATGACAATGCATAGTCTAGTCTAGTATGCATTAACACTGTATCATTGACACCAAATCCCGGCTCAGTCAAGTAGATAGCAACTATGTACCCATGTAATAGAAACCTGATCCCTCTCAAGGGATTAATTACATGCAGTTCCAGTCCTGCAGCTTACACAGTTCATCCCTTATCTCCGGCTCTACCCCGTAGCGGCCGCTTACGCACCTCGTGAGGTTTGCTTTTGCTTGTACCTGCCGGATCCAGCCTCGGCTTCTGCTCTCCTTGATACCGATTGCGATCTTTCCCGAAAAAGCGAACCTCGTACCTTCGGGTTGATTTATACCGGCGGGAGGTTAAGACTGTTCTGATCTCACCAAACCCCAGCGAATTCTGCCTGTATAATCCTTATTCCCGTCGGGACTGCTGCCAATTTCCTAGTTGATCACTGAAACGGTCGGCTGAAAAACGGAATCTACTCTTTGTTGCCTGGTTTTCCTCTAGACGAAGCTTGATGCTTCTGACACCGACAACAGCCATAATAACAATCTCGGGATAGCTCTTCCCCGTAAATCTCAGCTGGATTTATCGCTTACTCGTCTTTGAATTTTATCGGGAGACTTTTCATTCATTCTGAGGCGCTCTTCTGGTATGACAGACGTTCTAATGTACTGGAAAGGGGATGATGCTATAGATTGCGTCCTAGATGCTTACATGAGCTAGAGCACATGCAGAACTAATATTTAGTGACCTCATGGCACTGTTGATGGTGAAGAAATTTCTTCGGTTATGATATAGGAGACGTCTTCGCGAGGTCTTTATAAGTGCACTGAAAGATATTGGACTGCTGGTTCAATTTGTTGTGAACCTATTTGGTTCACCGGCAGAGATATCGGAAAGAATGTTTTAATAACAGGGCCCGATCCGGGAATATTTGCGATCAAGTGACTCATGGATGGTATGTGTTGTTGTGCTGCAATGCAATGCTACAACAACACCGCGTTATCAATGCCGATCGGCGGGGTTGGGATACTCTGGAGTCTGGCCATCACTCCCCGGCAAGAAGTCAATGGGTGGCCTGAGGGTATGCAGCCCCCGACTGAATGGTGTCAGTCACAGCTTTCAGTGCGTGCAGCTTATTAACTTAAAATCTGTGATATTTCTGCGAATAAGGACAAAGACCTGAGGTAGGACAGCAGCCTGACTCATACCTGTTACTACTTGACCTTGACTAGTACTAGTCTTTGTCTTCGCCGATTATGCGCCTATAAGAAGCCCCTAGCTTCACAACCCCCTCTTGATACTACTCTGCTGCAGCCTGCTACTCTCTTGATCCGCTTCTGACTGTCATATATCCATCCCGCTGCTAACGAACGTAAAATGCCAACATTCTGGCCATCAATTACCCCAGAGCTCCGAGACTGGGCCTTGCGCCAAAGCGTCTTTTTCGTGGCCTCTGCACCTCTGCAAGGAAAACATGTGAATGTGTCGCCGAAAGGGTTTCCTGACTCGTCGTTCGCCATCCTGGGTCCTAACGAGGCAGCCTACGTTGATGCCACGGGCTCGGGAAGTGAGACCATAAGCCATGTGCGCGAGAACGGTCGACTTACCATTATGTTCTGCTCCTTTGATGCCTCGCCAGGCATTGTACGCTTCTTCTGCACTGGCTCTGTTATCGAATACGATGAGCCTGAATTCTCTGACTACCTCGAGCGGATGGGAGGCAAGAAAGTGGTGGGAGCGCGGGCTATCATTCGTCTGAATGTCTTCAAGGTTCTCTCCCCGACTCCTCCTAGAAGTGCCTTCTGGCTTATTGCCGCGAGCAAGATACGCTGCTAACAACGGATGCGATGCATGTTACGGGCTACAGGTTCAACGTTCTTGCGGTTACGGCGTCCCGCGATTGTCCCTGCAAGTCGATCCCGAAACCAACAACACCAAACCGTATCTCCAAGATCGCGATACCCTAGGCCATTGGACAGGCAAAAGGGTCGAAGCCAATGAGCTTCGCACCTACCAGAAGGAGTGGAACGTACGAAGTCTTGACGGGCTACCTGGACTACACAGGGCGCTGAAGGATAACCATCAGCTTGTCTGGGTGAAGCGGTTGGGCAACTGGACCCGCCGTCATAGAGACGAGATTGAGATGGTAAAAACCTCCATTTTGCTGTTATTCGTCTCTATGGCTATCCTGCAATGGGCGGGATACGTGTAATTATAATAGGAAATGAGATAAAACTGAAGGGTCTGTTGCTTGTAACCACTTGGAGCTGGCCTGGTGGCGTGACCGCTCATCTGATCCACATGTGACTTACACTTTCCTTCTCCTCTGTTGCTTGGTTGAGCTTCTTTCAACTGGTGCCTCCCGCATAGTGGCGCATTAATGCGACTTGTTGATCATTATGCCTGCGTAACTCAATTTCACGTAGGTTGCTCATCTTCTCTTGCCGGTCGATCCGACCGCAATGCGGCAGGTGAAAGCAGATCCCCGCATCTTCTTCCCAAACAACCGAATGTCCTCGGCATCTCACTGGAGACGAACTCGCACTATGTGCAACTTTTCTCGATTCCTTGGGACTGGCTAGCTAGGCAATGAACACTGGAAGTGCTATATAAACACTGTTTATGGCTGGACGAGATACTCTGTTCCCCGCCTGATATTCACACCACTTCTACTGTAGCGGTGAATACGCCTATACTATACATACTACCATGGCCCAACGCTCGGTACGTATAGCTGGTACGTCGGTCGACTTTGAACCGCCCCAAGACCGTTATAATTCACTGACCAAACTGAATAGGTGCCTCCGGGTCCAACGCTGACCGTCGCCATGCCATCGCCGAGTTCGCTCGCAATTATCCTCAAGATCCAGTCGATGTGATCATTGCTGACTACATGAGCGAGGCAAATATGGTGGCATCGGCTGCCCGTACAGTAGAACAGCATCAGCGGAAAGAAAAAGGCACAAATGGATCCTCGACCATCGATGCACCAGGCTATGAAGTCGGCTTTCTCCAGGCCCTGAACCCGGCCCTCTCAGACCTGGCAAAGTACGGCATCAAAGTTGCGGTGAATGCAGGAAACACAGACACGGAGGGCCTCTACAAGGTGGTCAAACAGATGGTGGAAGCAAAAGGACTGAACCTCAAGGTCACTCTCAAAATGACCTCTGAAGAAGCCATGCTCACATGAAACCCAGGTAGCTTGGGTCTCTGGAGACCAAGTCCTGTCAACCGTCAAAGCTGCATTGTCGTCGGGCAAGTCAGCCTTCACCAACATCTATACTGGCGAATCCCTCTCCAATTGGCCTTTCGAGCCCATCTTTGCTCAGTGCTACTTGGGAGGACTCGGAATTGCCGCCGCTCTATCCCAAGGGGCTGATATCGTACTCTGCGGACGAGTCTCTGATGCATCCCCCGTCATTGGAGCTGCATACTGGTTCCATGGGTGGAACCGCACTGACCTCGATCAGCTAGCCAACGCCTTCGTGGCTGGCCATCTCATCGAATGCAGCAACTATGTCTGCGGCGGCAACTTCACCGGCTTCAAGACCTTGGAACACGTCGGTCCTGACGGCTGGTCCAACATTGGATATCCCATTGCGGAGATCTCCCCAGAGGGCAAAGTAATCATTACCATGCAATCCTACGCGCGCGGGGGCGCCGTCACCATCGACACCTGCTCCTCACAGCTCCTATATGAGATCCAAGGCCCATGGTACTTCAACTCCGACGTAACCGCTATCCTGAACGACATCCACTTCGAGCAAATCAGCCCCAACCGCGTCGCCCTCCACGGCGTCCGCTCCGGACCACCACCCCCGACCACCAAAGTCGGCATCACAGCCCGCGGAGGCTTTCAAGCGGAAGCGGTCTATTTCCTCGTAGGCCTCGACATCCCTTCCAAGGCACGCATGCTCGAATCCCAGATTCGCCGACTCCTCTCACCGTATACTCCCAAATTCACCAGCCTCCAATTCGCAACCCTTGGCTCTGCCCCTGAGAACCCCGACGACCAAAGCAGCGCCACCGTCTGCCTCCGCATCGTCGCCCAAGCCCGCCACGCAGACGATCTCTCCCCAATGCACTTCCTCCGCTCCATTGTCGACACCATTATGCAAGGCTACCCGGGGGCCACCTTCCACCTCGACACCCGCCAAGGCTTCCCCCGTCCCGTCTACGAATACCACGTCACCCTCCTGCCCCAATCCGACATCAACCATCAAGTCCACCTCCCCTGGCTCCATCAAACCCTCACTATCCCTCCACCCCCAATCACAAAAATCTACCCTTCCCGCCAACCCTCCCAATCCGTCACCGACAATCCCACTTTGGACTTCGGCCCCACTATCCGCGGCCCTTTGGGCTGGATCGTCCACGCCCGGTCCGGCGACAAAGGCCCGGACGCGAACTGCGGGTTCTGGGTCCGTCATGCAGACGAGTACCGATGGCTTCGGTCGTTATTATCTGTGTCTGGAATCAGGGAACTCCTGGGCGAGAAGTATAATGCGAATCCCGAGCTGAGGGTTGAAAGATTTGAGTTGCAGAATTTGAGGGCTGTGCATTTTCTGTTCAGAAATTTGCTGGATAGGGGAGTGGGGGTTACTACGACAGTGGACTTCTTGGGGAAGAACGTGGCGGAGTTTCTAAGAGCGAGGCATGTCGATTTGCCGGTTCGGTTTTTGGAGAGGGGGAAGTTGTAGGGTTTTTTTTGCTGGAGAAGTCTGATCTGCCAGACGGCTCCGTCATGGGTGAAATGGAGTAGTAATAGTAGTCCGTAAGGTATTACTAGTCGAAGCTTCTGTTTGTGTCCGAACCGGTATCTCGTAACTAGCCCTCATCCATATATATCATTTGACGCCATAAATGCAACAGCTACAAGTAAGCAAATAGCTTATGCCACGCTGACCAAACAACATCTCTTCTTGTTCTTGTTCTTCTTCTCCCTCACCCCCTTGACTATAATTCATTATCTGCGCCTCGCACTACTAGCCATCGGCTCAAACGCATCACTATCATCCTCAATATCCTCACTCGCCGCCCTCGTAGCCCTCGTTGATCTCCCAGACCCCGCCGTCCCTCGCACACTACTCTGCGAGCCTACGAAATTCAGTGTTGTCTGAGTTGCTTGCTTGCCCCGAGTTCTTCGCGTAGCTTGTCCGGTTCCTCCAACTGTATTGGATGAAGGTGCTGGAGACGGAGCTTTGCGGCGTTGTGTTGTTGCTTTCGCTGTTGCTGCTGTTGTTGTTCTCCGAGATCTAGTACTGGTAGTGGATTTGGCGGGTTGTTTGACGAAGAGGGAGTCATCGTCGTCATCGTCATCATCATCCTCTTCGTCTATGTTGGGGAGGGAGGTGGCTGCGTTATCGTCGTCATCATCGTCGTCGTCGAGCATTATGACGTCCTCTTGTTCATCTTCTTCGTCGGAGGAGACGGTGCGGCGTTTGCGGCTTTTAGTAGAGGTTGTGGTTTTCTTTGAAGAAGTAGTAGCAGGTGCTGCTTTTGTGGTGGCGGTTTTGCGGGTTGTAGCGGCAGTGGTGGTAGCTCTACCGCCACGGCCTCGGCCGCGGCCGCGTGTGGATGATGTTGCTCGTGATGTGGTGGGTGGTTCGGCGCCATCCTCGCCGGCTACGTCTTCATTGGGATCGCCGTCCTCGTTGTCGGAGTGGATGAGAGCGCCGGGTTGGTCCTCCCAGACACCGTCGAATTCGGTGTCCCAGCCGTCGGGCTTGGGCTTGAAGCGCTTCTTGCCGCGGGTGCGTTTCTTGATACCGCGGGAGAACATGTCTTCCATTTGAGTGCGATATCTCTCCATGGCTTTTTGTAGGGAGCTTTCTGCCACTTCTTCTTCTTCCTCTAGATCGTGGTCACGATCTAGGGCCAGTAAGTGCTTCATTTGGCTCTCGAGTGATTCGTTGACGAACATTTCCAAGGCATGTTTGTCGTCTTTGTCAATGAATTGGGCGACTGCGTCGCCGAAGGAGTTCTGTGGGAGGATGGTCAGAGACTGTGCGGAGAGGAAGTCGCGCACTAATTGTTCGACTTTGACGGTGTCGAGGGTGGAGAGGTGTGAGACTGCTGTCTCGTCGAGGTCGGTTTCACCCGGTTTGCGCGTACTGTTGGTGTTTTTCTTCTTGCGGTAGAACTGGACGACGTCGTTCACATTGGCGACCTTGCCTACGAAGCGGTTGGAGAATCGCTGCGGGTTCTCGCAGTCATAACTGCCTCCTTCTGGCGTTGAGGTTTCCACGCGCAGTCGCACTAGTGGTAGTGGGACTTCTAGCTCTTCGTCTTCTGCTGTCTCATCTTGCATTTCTAGCCATTCCGTTTTCGCTTCTTCGATCAGTTCCTCGACAATCTCCATGAGAAGGCGAGTCACTTCCGTGCGGTTGTTGTCCTTGCGGGCAAGCTTTTGCGCGCCTTTTTCTTCGGAAAGGATGATTTCGCGCATGGCGAATGGGCGGACGGACTTGAGACGGATGGGCTCGCATTTGAACTCCCGGCCTGTGATACTGAGAATGGCTACATGTTTGGCCACTGATTCGCCAGGAACCAGGGATGTCGCCACGGATGAGCCGGGCTGCATGACGTGAAACTTGGTCTCGGGGTTCAATCGCGGGTTGATTAAACACTCGTGTTCGTGGCCCCAGACGACGAGGTCCAGGAATTCGGGGAGGAAATTCTCGGGCAAATAGCCTGTCTCGGTGTGTGCATAATGGTTCTGATGGACAGACATCAAGTTGAACCAGTCTTCTTTCTGGATTGAGGGTTGGTAGAACTTGACCTTGCCGTCTCGAAACGTGCGAAATAGACGCTCATCGCGGACATTGCTCATACCGTAAAGAGCAAGTTTCGTGCGTCCTTTCTGGAGCAGAACTGGCTTAATCTGAATATTGTCTGACTCGGGGGTCCGTCCATAGTAATTGATCAACCCCGACACCTGAAGTAGGTCCAGTGCAGCCAGATGTCCTTCTCCGGACGGATCATCATGATTGCCGTGAATTGAAAAAATGGGAATAGCCACATTGATATCCAAATCCTCGTAGTTCACGTGATTGAAAGCACCCTGAAAATTTTCGCTCGCATCACTCAGCATCTCCAGTTCGCAAGGCTTATCGCCGAGACAGTTCATACGAATGGAGCGCATAACTTGGTACATGGACTTGCGCGATGGCTTGTTCTCGTGGAAGAGATCGCCTGCCAGAAGCACCATGTCCACATCTTGTTCCTTGGCCAGACACATTACCTCATGAAAGCTTTTCCAGCTGTCATCACCACGGATGGGATCCCGTTCATTGTATCCGACATGGTTGTCTGTAGAGACAAGAATGCGGATCGTTTCCGAGTCTGGATGCATCAGCAACGGGCAATCAGCAGAG